CGACGTTGCAGACTTCCTTAGAAATTTTATTTTTCTTTCGAGATGCTGGTCAACATAAAATCTAAATTCTCCATGATTTTTCGTATTCGATAGCAGAAGATTTGGTTCAAAATGTAAAGTCATAAATTTGGATTGTTCCTCATGGAATAGATGAAGTAAGAAGGGAAATTTTGAAACACCGCAATGGAGATACGTGGTTTCTCACTTCAGTCGCTGCGATACGGACATCCATCAAGTATAAATAGTTGCATCAAGTCCCCGTCACCGCCGACCAACACTCGAATCAACTACAGGTAGTATGAGCAGGGAGTCAAAACGCCTTCAATTTTTTGAACGCAATACGGACATCCGTCGAGGTTGTATAGTTGTATCAAGGCGCCGTAGCAATCGCGTGCCATTGTTTATCGTTACAGACGAATATAAGTTGAGAGAGGAACGTGATAATGCCTTCAATTGTATGCATACATATTTTTGGGCAAAAGGGAGCGCACCGACTATGTTCGCAACCGCCATTCGTTTTTGGGAGATGGTAGGATTCGGGCAACGGAAACGAAGGGCTGAGCAAAGGTGAGCAAATGATCTTGGGTCGTTTGACACCAATTTCAGTTCAATAGGACAAAGTGGGGGGTGCTGCCTTTGATGTCCCCCAAAATGCCGCCTTTCATTTTGGGGAGGACGGAGGGGTGAGCAACAAAAAGTAAGGGCTGAGCAAATGTGAGCAAATGATTCTGCGTCGTTTGAGACCATTTTCAAGTCAATCGGACAAAGTGGGGGTGCTAAGGTCAATGACCTCTCTGAAAGTTCAAGTTCGATTTTTCGGGGGTATATGCCTCAGCAGAAAAATGAAAGCGATTTTCGAGGTGAGCAAATGATGAGCAATGATGAGCAAAAGAGAAAATTTTAAATTTTAAAAGTCAGGGTGCTAACTTCACAGACATCTTTCTTTCCCCTTATTTTTTTCAGATGCTTTTGATGGAACAAACTTACCTGCTTTTCTCTCACTTCGGCCTTTAACCGTACACATGTGTGTTACCGCGCTGTTTTAATTGTGAATGCGGTACACAGAAAGTGAGAACGCCTTCAATTTTTCGAATATGCAATGCGGACATCCGCGGAGCAGTAATAGTTGCATCCAAGCGTCGATACATAAATATGTATCGCGTATTCTCATCATCCGCTATAACATCGCTATGTCGATAGCTGAATTTGAAAAACGCGTTTTTCCGATTGCGTCGTCACAAATCTCTGCTAATAGTTTATTTATTAATTTTAATTTTTTTTTTCATGAGACAAACTTTTGTCTGTTTTGACATTTTCTTTGAACTTTCCTCTATCATCCAAGAATATTATAATGGACAATTTTAAGGAGATTTTTTAATGAGTTTTATTTTGAAAAAATTATGTATTTATAAGATATTAATAAATACAGGTTTACTGCGTTGTATCTGAGACTCATGAAGATCCCCCCCCCAGATTTTCTGAAGAGTTATTGCCACTAGCGATAGCTCTACTGTTGGGCGGTTCCCTAGATTTACTCTGTCATTTCTCAATGCCTCTTTTATCTGTTTCAGGGAATTTTCATCTCGATGGACCCAACCTCGTGTCAGAACTGCGTGTCGATCAACTCCATTAAAACTCGAAGATGAGATTAGCGAGAAACCGGACGAGGACAGTTTCAAATGCGTAAAGTGCGAACAATCTTTCAAAGAAAAATCTGAATTCGTGAAGCATTGGTTGCACCATATAAAGAAAAAGTTCGATAAAAAATCAAAAGACTCAAATAAGCAGTCCTATAGGTGTAAAGCCTGTGGTAGTGTGTTCACGGAAAAATCAAGTTTGAAATCACATTCAATGGATATTTGCGGAAAAACTAAATTGGATTCGTCATATCCTTGCTCGGTTTGTACAGCGGGTTTCAAATCTGAAAAAAAATTGAAACGGCACATGAAAACGCATGATCGGACGAATCTGCATTATTGCACCCATAGGCGTAGCTAGGCCATTTTGCTGGGGGGGGGCCTGGCCCCCCACCACCGGGGGGTCTGGGGGGTATGGAATACCCCCCAGGTCAGCGGGGGGTCCGGGGGGCCTCCCCCGGAAAATTTTTGAAATTTTAACTCTATTTGAGCGCATCTCGAGGCACTTGTGGCGTTAATCTTCCTTCAATTTCTGCATAAAATTCACCCAGTTTTATGCATTTTAAGGTTAAAATACTTTGAAATTGTTGCATTCAACAGGTTATTCCATTTATTTTCTCACTTTTAACCACTCATTTGTGTGAAAATTGCGCAATAAATGTTTAGTAAATGCCAGAATCATTGTTCTGTATTAGGAAAAGCCCATGCAAAGTAAAATATAATATAATGAGCAAGACGTAACTATGAACGAATGAGCATTTGTCATATGTACCAAAAAATAAAGATATGAATTATGAATTAGAAAAAAATCGATTGCATCCAGATTTTTTAGAGCAATTCAACTGAATAATGAACAGAGAAGAAAAAACTAACCGTTCGAGCGCGAGATTTTAAGTAAAAACTATGTGCATTAAGAGTGATAAATTTCATTGATTCGTAATTTTATTTTACACTCTGATTTTTCCTCGTTAATTAGAGGTAATTGAATAAACAAAGCAGGATGGAATTAATGTTTTTCTTATTGTTGTTCAGTTGCTCTATTTCCCGGAAGAAATACACTTATTTTATTTTATTTTTTTTCTTTTTGCTCTTAATTAATCTTCGGAAGATAGGCATCCTCTCACGGGCCACGGCGACAGAGACTTACCGTTAAAGATGGTGTTTTTGCACCATCCAGAATTTCTGGGGGGGCCAGATGATACTATTTCCAATTTTGGGGGGGGGGGCCAGGCCCCCCCTGGCCCCCCCTTCCTACGCCACTGATTGCACCATGTGTGATTACAGCTCTTACAAAAAATCTCGCTTGTTAAAGCATTTTTTGAGTCATTCTGATTTGAGACCGTTCAAGTGTTCTTTTTGCGATAATACTTTTAAGACTAAGAATTGTTTGGAAGTTCACTGTGCCTCAGTTCACTCAACATATCGACCGTTTAAGTGCAAATCATGTCCAGCTGAATTTGCCCGGAAGTACACCCTGATTCAGCATGAAAATATTCACTCAAATTTAAGACGTTATGTGTGTATAATTTGCGGAGATAATTTTCGTCAGTATGCTGCACTCAATAATCACCAGCGGAGGCACACTGAGTTGAAACCTTTTAAATGTGAAGTTTGTGAAAAGGCCTTCAAAACAAAGCCCGAATTATAACAGCACCTACCCACGCATAGCGATGAAAAACCATTTTCTTGTGATTTGTGTAATTATTCATCCAGGTGGAAAGGTAATGTTCAAAAGCATTTCCGAACGATCCACATAGGTAGCAGTTCTACAGTTTTTTGATCCGTCTCAAGTAGTGCGACAAAAGATCGAAAGGCAGACAACGATCACACGCTGTACCAAACTGAAAGGGATTGGCGAAAGAAAAGTCTAGGTATATCTTGAGCATAACTTTTTAAGTTTAAGTGTTGATTGTTAGGAATTCGAAAACACCCATCATTAAGAAAATAATAATTGATCTATTCATATCCATTACAATTACCATTGCTATAGGAAAGCTTATGTTCTGAATGAGAGGTAGACTCTCTGCTTTTTATTGATTTTTGATTTCTAAAGATTGTTTCACTGGTTGTTTAGGATCGCATTTTTCCGGCACAAGTTAACTTACTTTACGATTCTCGCTGTTCGAAATCGCCAAAAAACCTGCATTTTTCTGTACCTATTTCAACTTTTACTGAAGTTTTTTCAAAGGAAAATTGTATTTTTACAGAATTTTTCCAGCTTTTTTTACTTTTCCTCTTTGATAAGAAGCATTGTGATGAAATAATTTGGAATAAATAAATTATTGGTATATTGTTGCCGTATCTAAAATTAATCTCCTTTTCCCAAAAATTACCCTCATGATGATGAAAGCACTATTTTTTTGTGATTATCTTTGCGTGAAGATTGATTATATTTATTCTATACGATTGTGCCATGAAGTTTTAATTTGATGATAACAATCCAGAAATATGATGAATAACTTGAAAAACCCATGTTTATCGGTGGTCTTTCGTTGGCATTTCTAAGTAAGTACATGTAAACAAATAACCTCACACATTTTACTAAATAATACGTGAATAAAGTAAGGTCTTAAACTAATTATAATCGTAAAACACAAATATCAAACATTTTCTCATACCCTTTTTGTAATCTGCGTTTAAGTCTTCTGGACAAGCCTGACTCTTGACTTTTCATTGCACTCATAATATAATAATCGTTTGAAAATTCGGACGTTGCCAAATTTCTTCCTCTTAATTTGGCATTTTCTGGGAAGTTTGTTAGTTTCATTGGAATTTTCCAAATACTTTATTTTGTAAAATTATCGAGGGAAAACATCCTCAATAACTCTCAAAATTGCCTTATCAGAGGAAATTTGGCAACGTTTTAACGCTCTTACGAAATTTTTCGGTAGCGCGACACAGGCGTTTGACGAGTGTTCCCCAATTTTTACTCTTTTCCAATGGGTCCTCTAATAGCTAACACCCCCCCGGTGTGAAGATGCGCCTGGTTATAAGCATCCGCGTCATGAGTAATGCGTTCCGCGGTGAATAACAAAGGCGCTCGTAGACAGGCACCCCGGGGACCTCTTGGAAATGAGGTTTCACAATCATGGATGACCTTTGAGGTCTTTTCGTCATGATTTATTTTCTTAACAACAAAACTAATCATGAATACTACCTTAAAAATATACCTAAAAGAAGAAAAAAAAGAACGGCTACTCTTATTCTCTCAATCACGTTGATCACTGATGTCGGTAATAATTTTCGCTCCGGTTAACCCGGTGCGCATTTTTAAAAATGCCGCCTCAAAATTGAATTCGGAGCCTCGCCCGCTTTGAGCGGTTCAGTTTTGCGGCAACAGAGTGCGCCACCATCGCACCTAACCTCAAAATATGCTTGTTACCACTGTTTTGTTTTTATTGTTATTCGCAATTTCAAGTTTTCGCTTTTCGGGAAGTTTTGTGTCACACCTTTACATGTAGTATTTCACAGACTAAACTTTCAAACTGTTCATTGCATGATAATTCTTAGTCTCCTCTTCTCTCATGAAAAAGCTACTCCGTAATCCTTACCCCCACAACTTCGTATTCGTTCGAATGGAGGTTTCATTCGATATGAGGATATGACTCTTGGTCTCCTCACCATGGTACCGCTTTAAATTTTGTTATTCAGGATTTTTGTACTAAACCCGCCGAGTGATTCATCATATTTTTTTCTACTCGGAGCTATTCTTTCAGTGCTCAAAATGAAACGATACGAGAAGATCAAGCTTATCGGGAAGGGCTCCTTTGGGATTGTTTACAAAGCAAAAAATGTTGAAACACAAGAAATTGTTGCTTACAAAGTGATGACCAAGGTAAAGCATCTCTGTTTTATTCTTTGCATGACCAATTCTGAAAGTTTTTATGCTGAAATCATGAAATGAAGCCCCAAAGCAAACTTGATTTTTGACTCTGTTTTGTTGAAATTTTTTCATGGCAGAGTATCAAAGTCAGAAGAGACTATTAATCTGTGTCGATAGAGGTCATAAGATCTTACTTTCATTGATTATCACATCAGCAAGGATACCGTTTTTGCCCCTTGATAGTGCTTAGCTCTACGTTTTTTTCTTTCATCTTCCTGAGAGATGAAATTATCTCATTTTTTAGTATCAATTCATTCACTCAAGGCTCAAAAGCATCAAAAGTCAGTTTATCCTACAACTTACCACCATACCATCTTAAAATAACTATTTTCAGCAAGTAGGTAAATGTTCTTAATTTTTCAAGACAGACATTACTTAAATGTAGTTCAGTTATTTAATGTCGAGTAAGTATCTCTCTAAGTAAAGTTAGTAAAGTCAGATAGTTTTAGCATAGCAATATTCAATACCAAGATGTGAATTGAGGAGATACTACATTTTTTTACTGTTGCATGTAAATCAATACCGTATAGCTCAGCTGTCAATGCTTTATCAATCTTCCCTCATAATATAATTATGCACACTGTTCATATTATCAATTCTGATGTCTTCTCTAACCAGCCAACTTTCAAATTTTTTGCAGCTCAACCGCACACCCAAAGAAATAGAAGGTCTTCGAAGGGAATACAAAATTCTCCATGGGCTAAGTCATCCCAACATAATTAAAATGCTGGATTCATTTGAAACGGATTATGAGGTACAACAATGTAGAGATTACTTTACTTTGTTCCTATTTTTTTACCCTTGGAAATACTTCAGAATTCGTGGATCACCCCTCTGTATTATTTATATACCAGTCTCACGGCATGATTTTTAGGTTGATCTAGAGCAGCTGGTAAAGAATATAAATTTTTTCACACTCAACAACTTTGTCAGCGATAAATATTTTATCATTGGCTACATAAATCATTCTATCTACCATAAAAATTTGTCAGAAATTTCCAAGGTGCAGAATCCTCTGCTCTTCAAGGCGTCTGGCCACTGGCTTTCTACATTTTTCTCATGTGTTCCGCAAAATTTCCAACCAATGTCAAAAGTGATGCTTTTTTTCAACTTTTTTTCTTTGACTTTTGACCCTCATAATATTTTTTTCCTCCTCATCTTATAGGGCCCTTACATAGTTGCATGCACTTCTGGGGTATTTTTTGCACTCCTAGAAATATCTGCTTAATTTTGCAAGAATGCTTTTACAGTGCGTACAATAAAAACTTTTTGACTGGACTCCAAAGAAAATAATAAAAGAAGGGTGAAAAAATAGGAAGTAGGAATTTCAAAAATTTTTCTTTTGAAAATTAGAATAAGATGAAACTAAGTAAATTAATGAAGAATAATTTTCACTGACTTCAGTTAATCCAATGATCACAAGATCAAACATTTTTAAATCCATGATCTGTATGTACTCATGTCCATCCACAAAACAAAAAATTGTAGTCAACAAAATCCCACTATCGAGTTATTGTACAAGCGTCAGTATTAGGATTCTTCAAAAAATCCAAAAGTTTAGAAAGCCTTACACTGTAATCAAGTAATTGCATTCCCATACATGGACAGTCTTTAATGTCTGTACACTTTTTAGTAGTTGAATTTTTCAATTTACAGTCCTTCTTCACATTGCTCATTTTCTTTCCTTGTGTTTATCCTAGCTTTAATCCTGTTAATTTAATCTTGTATTTTTTCAGATCGTAGTTGTGTCTGAATATGCTGATGAAGAACTCTACGATGTTCTGGGCAAAGTTAAGAGACTTGGCGAAGAAAGAGCAAGAGAAATTTTGTGCGACCTTCTCTCTGCCATCCACTATCTTCATTATAACAGAATTGTTCATCGGTAATTTTAATTTCTTTCTTATCATTGATTTAAAGGGAACATCTTAACTGCTATGAAGCTCGTAATTAAAACATAAAAATGACAACTCTGTAGCAGTAAGAAAAGGCAACTTTGGAGCTATCAGATTTTAAAGAAACTAACTAATCTCTGAAAATAATTTTTTGATTTAAAATTTTAACTTTTCCAATTTTTAAAATGATATCAACAGGACTAAAATTCTCATTTGTTTTTCTTCGAAAACTGAACTACCCAAAAATTACTTTATCCAGCATTTCTGACTGTTTAGTCGGTACATTGATCGACAACCAAATTTTAGAGTTTCAAAACAGAGGTTAAAGAATGACGGAATGACTATCAGCTGAAAGTTGCCTATGTAACATTTGGAATCCGCACATAGTGTCCATTCTGATATTCATGTATTCCACTAGTATTGTGACTTCGGAAGCTCTTGATGCATTTAGGAATACACATATATTTAGAGTAAATTAGTGACATCATTGTGGTTTTATTGAAATTAAAACTTTAATTAGTTGAATATATTTATGAATCCTAATCTTCAACCTTGCAGAATCTCCTCCAGGGTTTGCCTCTCCATAACTCATTGAAATTATGTTCCCTATTTCTCTTGTAACTTTATAATTTTTTCTCATTATTTCAGGGATTTGAAACCTCACAATGTACTGTTAGACAATAAAGGGCATGCGAAACTTTGTGATTTCGGGTTTGCCAGAAGTATGAGCTCAGGAACACACTTACTAACCTCCATCAAGGGAACCCCCTTGTACATGGCACCAGAATTAATTCAAGAACTCCCGTACGATTACAAAGTAGACCTGTGGTCTCTAGGATGCATAATGTATGAGCTGGTAGCTGGCCGACCACCGTTTAAAACAAGATCAATGATAAGTCTAATTTATATCATTCAAAATGAAGCTGTGAGGTGGCCAAACTATCTCTCTGAAAATTGTGTTGATTTCTTGAAAGGGCTCCTCGAAAAGGACCCAATCAAGAGGTTTTCGTGGAATGACCTACTGTCTCATCCGTATGTACAAGGCCGTGTGCTCACAACTCAAGGTTGCAACGTCGAAACTCCTTTAACAGACTCACTTTCCATGTCTCAGAATCGTGCAAAGGAGATTCAAAAGAATAGCCTTCTCTGTGGATTAGCCGATAAACAGAAGTAAGCTCTGTAATTTTCATTCAGTTTTCTTTTTTTCCAGTGACATTTAAAATAACTTCCTTTGAGATGATTTAAAAAGTTTGTAGAGATGTAAGCACCAAGTCATTACTGAAGTTTTTCAATAAGCTTCGGAATATTTCTTACAATCACTTAAAAAGTTTGCTGTAAAATTTAAAAACTTGAAAATTTCCCGAGTCCAGCATGCATTGTCTACATAATTAACCTTGCCTCGAACTTTAGAGGAAGTAGTTTAGCAAACCAAGTATTAGCTCAGGGAACTAATTTTAGCTCAGTCACAACTCATGAACTCAGCAAAAAGTCCCTTATATTGTGCCAATCATATTCAAAACTGCCAAAATAATGGGGCCATGGGCAAGGTATGATTTAAAGTTGTATGCAACATGTTCTTTCTTCAAAATTCCACCAAGAGAATGAATAACACAACAGGAAGTCGTAGAATCAACTTCTAGACCAGATTTAAGTGTTGACAGTCAATATTTGTTTAATATTACGAATTTAAATGACACAATTTGTGTAAAATAACTTTAATTTGATCCTACTTGAAAATACTTGTCAATATCTAGTCCAGGAGTTGATTTTTAAACTTTCTGTTTTATAGTACTATTTTGTGCGTAAGGTTTTGATAAGAAAATGTGTGACTTTTTCTAATTCAGACTTTGTCTAGTCGCTCATTTGATGAACTGCCTTTTTGAGACAAAGCGTCACTAATTTTGTCTTATTTTAAGCAATTCAACGTCCTTTTCCAGTTGCCCTTCATATTCTTTTTTCATAACTTAAGTCTTCAGAAGTGGCAATTTGGTGAAAAATTCCTTGCAGAATTAAATGAAGACTGACCCAAGTATTTCTCCTGTTTCAGGCTGCATTCAATGGCATCGAAGTACATGAAACCCCGCTTACCTCATCCTCTATCAAATAAAATGTACCAGATGAACGAACTAAACAAACTCACCTCTAATTTGAATATAAATTATGACCCAAGAAGAAATGAATTAACGAATTACGCAAATATCGCTAAATTCGGTGCAATACCCAAAACTACCAATTCTAACTCAACAACCAAGAATAAATCATCAGTTTCTCTCTCGTCCTCCCTAGCTGCTTCATCGGGCAATGCTAATTGGATCCAGACGGAAATTTCTGAGTTGAAACAACTGATGAAAGTAGAATTAGTACATAAAATTAATAGGCTCAATGAAATTCATGAAGAAAGGAAGAGGAAGACGTTGGATCGAAGAAAATCATCCTTTGAAGATCTGAAGTTGCTGTCTAAGATAAGTTTTAATGACATCAAAGAAGAGAATGCTCAGCCGATCGAAAGCGGAGAGCGGCTGGCTTTTCTGGAACATACCTTAGCAGAAATTGCCGATGGTGACCTCGAATCTCTTAAAAACATACATGTTTTGACGATGATCATAGGGCCCTTTAAGAACTCTTCCGCTTCTTTTGATGTTATTAAGTACACTGCATCTCTACTCTTCCTACCTTTTGTTATTGATGACGTTTCAACTAAAGATAAGGACCTCATCCGACAGGTCAGTCTTTGTTTTTAATATATCGCTCTCTTCATGGGTGGCGGTAGCCACCTCCGGACTAAGTCTAAATTTAATTTATCTCACGTCTCTCTGAGAACAGTGCCAATGGTCAAACTTAGTCCCTGAAAGCTAAAAAAACTAGTGCACATCCTTTTCAAACAAGTCGTGAAACATAAGTACCATCACAATTTTGGAAGGCCTGTTTTGCGTTTGATAAGAAGGTGTCAAAATTGTTGCATGTGCATAATATCGCTGCAAATCTAGTTTTACCGTGATCCCCCATCATGGGCCAAGAGCATGATTTTCTTGTTTACAGTAAACTCAAAGATACTTCCTCATGAGGTGTTCAGGTTTTTTTTTCCTCTCATTTGGGCGCTTTTAAGAACCAAGACATTCCTTTCTAGAATTCTCGCTTTTATCTATAAATTTTTCAAATAGACTTATTAGACTTCACACAACTTATTGTTATCACAGTAAGGGCAGATTGCCTCCTAGTGCAACTTGAATTTTTAATGTGATGGAAGTAAGCTGCATCTCAATGAAAAATAGAAAATAAATAGATAGATGAGGTTTTCAAGCAATGAAGAAATGTCAAAGAATGTGCAAATGTGCAAGGTCAAAAAACTGAATTTGCTGCATTTAACCATATATTTTTTCATCATGACATTTTCTTCGCGCACCTCACAAAGGAGAATTTGCACGCAATTTTTTTATTGCTTCATCTGAATGCTTTTGTGATATGCAAAATAGTATAAAAATGTGAGAAAAATCACCACCTGGTGACGTCGTCTGGCAGCATTTCCTATTTAAACACTTGTAATGTCGCTGATTCGATTATGTTATCATATCTCTTCCAATAATTGCTCAATTTATGAACCAAGGGTATTCTCGTGTTCAGTTCACTCAGTTTCACACAGTTTCCATTTAGAAACGAAATTCACCAGATTTCAGACACCTGCAAATGCTCCATTTATTTATTTTTTTAAATATTTTACATCATATCATCTAATTATTTATTGGTGCTCAAGCTTTGCTTATCATTGGATCTTTGCCCACAGGTTTATAATGAAGCTGAGTTGGTGCCAAATCTAGTCTACTCAACCAAGCTGCTTCTATGGAAATTAAACGAATTACCAGCTGAGCACCTACAGACGTTAGAAGTGGTTCTCCTCCTGATCACAAATCTCGTTTACAACAGCGATGACTCTTTAAATCAATTCATTGATTCTGCAATGCAGCTGAAAATGACACCTGTAATACAGTCTATTCTCTCCCTACGCAAACAAAACCTGAAGATAGTATCGGATCTACTCTCCATTTTGTGCCAAATTTTAAGGAAGAAACCGCAATTCACCAAGTTCGTTAGTGACTTGGTTCTTGGGGATGGTCAGAAAGGTAATGTTTTTAATGATTGAGTCCAGTATTCAAAACTCACATTAGAGTTTCAGGAGCTATGTGGCGCATCAAGCTTGATTTTTAGGGGCCACTGAAGATTTTTTAGGGGCCAGATTTACTTTTTGTCTATATATCATGGCGCATTTGGTGAAAAGTTAGACGCAAGATGTTTGAGTTACAGAAGTAGAAACTGTAACTGGGGGAAATTTAGAAAAATCACTCAACAGAAAAATGAGGATTTTTTGGGGAGAGGGGAGAGGCAATTTTTAGGGCTCACGTTGGCGTAGAGCCTTCATTTTTTAGGCGCCATGACCGATTTCTTAGGCGCATTTGACACGTTGTTGCCTGTGAGTTTCAAACACTGATTGAGTCATATTGATAACTAAACTCAGAAATGTTTTATCGTGGAAGTCAAGACCTTTCAGAGGATTTGGAATACCTTAAAATCTTCCTCTTTGGGTCATGCACAGAGATGTCAGAAATTTTGGATTTATAGTTATTCCAAATTCAAGTCAGGGCACCAATTTGCATAATCTGAGCTGCATATTAAAGATTGTACGTTTTATTTGTGACCGAATCTGTGAAAAATTACCTTATCATTAGGGAGAAAATCATCCTTATTTTTTTTAAAAAACTTGACCACATTTTTCTACAAACTGAGAACTTTTTTTTTGGAACTTCATGGCTCATATTACCCTCAGTTTTTGAGTTGTCAGGGACAAACCTGTGCAAAAATTTCCAGATTATCTTACTTAATGCAGTTGGAAAAAGTTATGGATGATTTTCTCACCGAAGATAGGGTTCTGTTTCACAGATCCAGGCATATTTTTACGAGTATGACTTTGTGGAGAAGGCTGAAAAAATGTCAGCCTTTTCAATAAATTCCTTGGTGACATGGCATCTCTTTGTTTATATAGACTCTGTAAAAACATTTTCCGCTGTCTCGCCGAAGTTTTCAGTGCATGTATTTCAATCTACTGTATTTATTGGTTGGTACTGTATTTTATGGTTTTTGTGTCTGCTTTCAGATTCTGTGATGCCTGTTGATATTCATAGTATCCTAATCAGTTCAGACGATTGTTTGAGAGAGAGAGGTAGTACTTTACTGCATCTGATGGCTCAAGTTTGTCCAGACTCTTTGAACGCCGTTTGGAATGAAACTCTCCGATGTGATATCGAAGCTCTGGACTATGATTCTTGTGTTGCTGTAAGAAATGTAAGTTTAACATTCTTCTCTTATAGCTAAAACTCGTTGATTTAGTGTCAATACGACACACCTGTGTCTCTTATTTGATATGGGTCAAATACAAACGTTATCATCTTGTTCAGAAGTTGCGCTTTGTTGTTGATCAAATTTGGGGGATCATACTGAAACGAATTCCATTTAGCAGAAGGGAACTAAGGGGATCACAGTGCTATAATAACTGTTCATCTTCATTACAATCTAGAAATAAGTGTAGGACAGAAAATAGTTTTTGGTTTTCTAAAACAAATTCGTTAATTCTACAGGAAATCGATCATTTAAATTTTATTACTGTACACAGGTATGTCCATTACTTTTTAAGGGAAAAAAGAAGTTGTACAATTTCGAAAACACTTTGTTGCACTGCCGCTAAATGCAATCCAAATAAAATAACTTTTAATCTTTTATTTTGTGATGTCCTCTTACACCCAGTAAGGTTCCAGAATGTTGGGTTGTGCAACCTTCTACCCTGTTAGGGTCGTTTTGAGAAATGAAAAGAAAAGAAATAAACTCTATTATCGTTAAGAAATGATGAATATCTGCAGTAGAAATATCTTAAGATTCTTAGTTCTTTTGTTAAAAATTTCATAAATTTTTTCATGAAATTTGCTGCTAAACCCTCCTTCTCCCCAGTATTGCGTATTACATGAAAGGCCGCTTTCGAGGAGTATTTTCAAAAGGATTGCAAGCAGCTTTAATATACTTCTCCCATCTTAAAATGTTGGTAGACGATATCTTGGATGGTTTTTGATGATAAGAGGTTGTTGTCCGGATTTTGTTTTATCCATTCGTATTTTTTTTCTTCTTTTTATTACAGGCTGCCTCAAGTGCATTAGTTTCTTTGAAAAAGATGCCTAACTATCGCTCAGATCATCCTTGAAGGTATTTATTGCTAAGACAAGGAATTTTTGGATCTCTAACTGACAAGTGTATTTCTCTATGTATTCAGTATTTTCTGAAAAATAAACATGCCTTACAAGTTGCAAGGCCACGTGATAATGATGATCTCTGCAAGAAGATAATATAAAAGATCAATAAGTGTGAACAATTTTTATGCATTTCCAGGTTGCAAAAATACTGCAATGTTTCTTTCCCAAAGGCTTTTTAGTTGCAATGAAGTAATATTAAGAAAATCACCTGCATTATTCAATGAAGAAAGTATTAATTCTGAAGTAAATTTTTGTGACTAATCGTGACAATATCCCTTCAAAGAAAAAAACTGCGTGACAATCAAAAAGTACATATTACTTTTAAGTCCTTTGATATCTTTTTTAATTTTTTAAACGGTGCCATGCCTTTATCATTGCGTTTTCAACTGAAGACTATAGTGTTCTTTAAAAAAGCAATGAGCAATGTTTGTGCTCTGCTAAGTTAAACCCTACAAAATCTGAAACTTTTTCACTAGAAACTGATGTAAAAATCTGTGATCAAAATGAGAAATTCAGGACTGTATTAATAGTTGTTTCTTAATCATCCTTACATTCGTGAATAAACGAAGCGTAGTACTAAGTAGGGGTTCAGTATTGAACTTACTGACCACATAACCAGCCTGGCCAAGTCTCTGAAACCCTCCGCAACCATATAAATCATGTGTGGATCCTCCAGCGTCCCTAAGGAAGGGATCTGCTTCTGGAACAACCATGAATATGACCATACGTCGGATATATTCGACTAGAATCAGCCTATCTTTATTTAACAGTGCCTAATTTCAGCTCAAATTGTATTTTCTCAGCAGAAAAGCAAACAAAATAATACCTTGAAAATTTCTTCTGGATTTTAAGGAGTATCACTAAATTTTGAGTCAGAATTTTGATTGGTTTTCAGTATTGAAAATTAAACTTGAGAGGAAATTAGACCCGGTCTGGTGTAGTTTGATTGACTCTGTGTAATAAAATCTGTCCTGCCAGTATGACATGAGGTAAAAATTAAAGTTAAGCAATTGAGAGAAAAAAGAATCTTCGTCTCAAGTTTAAAATATGTTATTTTTAGTGATGTTTTGTATTTTTCGCTGTGAGTAAAAATTGGTGCCAAATTTTTCCAATTTTATATTGTTGTCCCTTTTTCCGATTGAAATAAAGGTGATGAATGAATGATATGTATTTCTTCTTCGATTGTGATGAAATCCCTGACAGCTATTTTTGCTTTACTTGTTTATCACCCAGATTTGTCAGTTTTCTTACATCAAGAGACTACAAACAACTGTCAATCGTAATAACTCAAAAATATAATCATATGATCTTTTAAAATTTCCCCTACTCTTGAAATAATGAAAGTACAAAGGGTCAGGTGATAGAGACGCAAAGTCTGATTTTCTTCGGTGAATTTGGGAACAGTTGGTTCGTAGTTTAGTAACCGAGTAATACAATGCAGTTCGTGAGTCACAGAGAAATTTCAGTTATTCTTAGAAAATTTTTATCTTCCACAAGAAGACGAAAGCCATGCAAACCAGCAGTCCGAGCAGACTCTCCATCCTTGATAAGGCTTAGAAAAAATTGAAACTTGAAAAAATAGATTTGAGACAAACTAATCTAATTATCATTCTAATTACAAAAGACACTATGATAATGTAAGTCGGCAATCACATAACTCTCTTGCGCAAACTGAGTTATGTGATCGCCAACTTACACTGTCGACTAGCTTCTGTTCTTTTCAGAAAAGTTTGAACTTAATTTTTGCAAAAAAAAGGGGGGGGGGGAAGAAGGCTTGACGCTTTTTGTCCTGACCCCGTCAATTGAAATAAATGAAGACACATTTCAGATCAGATGTTGTAATAAAACAAATAAAATTTAAAACAAGTACAAAATACGTGCAAAAAATATGATACAGATGATAAAAAAAATTACATTAGCTATACAGTAAAACATCACAGTCAGTTTGGTTTAGCAATGTTTTTCGCAGCTGGGGAGGTTCTCTCATCAAAGCTTCATGGCATTTGAGTTCCATGGATGTAGTGTCATTTTTTCTTCTTGTTAACTTTCATGAAAATCACCATGACTGAAAATAAAAACAAAACCAATACTCTTAATCGTTTGCTGAAATTGGACAAATAAATCCTGAAGTCATAGTTTCGTCATAAATTGTGCTAATGTACAACGTAAACGTAAAATTTTATTTCAAATTTTCTCATAAGTAGAATTCCTTACTTTTTTATTCTCTTACTTGGAATGGAAGCAGGATAAAATAAACTAAATTTGGCAGAAGAACTGCTATTCCTGGTCCATTTTAGAAACAACATAAGTGTCATTAGTTACTAAAAGGGTTTGAGCACTTTTGTGGGTACGGTATGTAAAATTCAGTCTGGACAATAGGTTGTTTCCATCAGATTACAGTTCATATGAACATACTTTTTGGGAGGAATGGCATGAAACGTGGCACTGAGATTACATCAAAAGTTTTCAAACGGAGAGAGATACTCCTCAAAGTTGACGGAACAAAAATTATTCCCTTTTTAGCCTTTCACCAAAAATGCAAGCACTTCTCATTAAGTACTCATTTATCTAGGGCATGTAGACTGCGCTGATAAATGAGGATGATTATTTGATAAGTTCTCTCACAAGGAGGTAAAAAAAACCAGTTTTGTTCCTTTTTTTAGACTTCGAGAGTGCTATTCACTATTGAAACCTTCGTTTATTCACAAAAGTATATAAAAAAATAATACGAACGAAAAAATCAGAAAAACTTACAAACAAATATGAAGAGTACGAGCACTATGATCAGCCACATCCAACACTTCCATGCCCCTTTGTTCAGTAGTTCTAGTTTTTCTGCTTCGACTTTCAATTTAGAAAAATTACTGTCTGCGAGTACAGATGAATTTTCAAAAGTCTAAGTAAAGAGAAAAGAATACATTAATTCCTTTATGCCTTCTATAAATCTCACAAGATCTTTCAGATACATTTTGATTTCATGAAACCTAGTACTTTTTTGTGTTCAGTATTTATGCGTTATTACAAAAATATTAGTCAACAAATATCGCTGGAAAGTGACAAAGTGGAATGCAAAGGAACTTTTCGAGATGTAAAAAAGTGTAAAAACTTGAGAAAAGACTCATAGCATGATTACTCACATTCGTAGAAGCCATGCAAATCCTGGTCATGATCAGCAACATTAAAAGATTGTTCTATCTTTTAATTTTTTTTCCAAGATATTTAACAGAACAAATTATTGCCAACTTGAGCAAATTGTGGTAAAATGTTGGGACAACTTCACCAAGAAAAATAGCCTTCAGCATTGTTAACGAGAAATTTCCACCCGTTCAGGGTGTCCCAGACCACCGGCACCAGGTTTTTTGCTCCATTATTTTGAGTCTGACAAAATTGGAATCATGAGATTTCATTTTTTATTCATCCCTGCAGTCCCTGAAGTATTGTGACCCAAAATAACCGAGAAAAAAGTTTGGCACGAGTGGTTTGGAACATCCTGTATACTTTCCAAACCTTAGGCTTACCCTTAACTGAAGCACACATAATTAAATTCAATTTCACCATTCAAGAATTGTTAAAATTGAGGATTCGGTGCGAAAAGAGCGCTTCTCGAGATTTTCCTTTTCCGTTTTTACTTTCAACAGGGAAAAAATGCTTTTAGAGAGAAAGAAAAACTAAATATTATTCAATTGAACAATAATTTCAGCATAAATCTCCAATTTAAAGATCTTGTAGTTTCCTCAAAAAATCAAAACAAATGTTGGTGGATATCCTGAAATTTTGTAATGGGGAATTGTTTTTTTGCACTCATTTTCTTAATTCATAACCTAGCCTCATGAGGAGTATTCATCATCTTCGTAATAATGTAGTTTATTTGAATCGGCTCGTGCGAAAACCGCTAATGTCCATTTTTTTCAATTTTGAGATTTTTGGGTTAAAATACTCTCGGAGGTCAGACACACTCATTAATGTAGTGAAAATATTTGTTCCTTAAGTTTGAAGCCCTTTACAGGGGGGGCCGTGGTCCGAATCATGCGAAAACCGCTAATGTCCATCTTTCGTTATATGCCTCATAATACTGTACAACAAACCGAAATAAAAAAATGTCTCCTGGACGACATTAGGTGATCTTTATGCATTTTAAGGCGCTGAATCCGAATATGAACTCCGTTTTTTTCCATCACCCTCCAATTTTCCGGAAAAGCCGATTTTACTCGGAAAATGATAATTTTTGGGCATTTTCGGTGTTTTTCCGACTGTTATCCCAACTGTAAAATTGGAGGGTAATGGAAAAAAACGGAGGTCATATTCGGATTCAGCGCCTCAAAATACGTAAGAATAACCTTATTATCCCAGAAAGGCATCCTGAAAAATATGCGTTTTCGATGATTTAGAACCGACCATGCACGAATCATGCGAAAACCGCTAATGTCCAGTCCATTGCTGGTAGTCCTGTGATGAAACTTGCTTTAAGTGCCGCAATTGTCAAGAATTTTAGTTTTTCAACTTTATTTGAATGATAATCTACCGTTTTAATATCTTTAGAATGAATTTTGAAAGTATCAAACGGCTCCGAAACTCGGCGATTTTTACGAATCATGCGAAAAACGCTAATGTCCAGAGTCCTTTTTTTTAAATTACTCCATCCCAGACTGAAGAGGAGCTGGAAACTGTTAGGGATCCTTTTCTAGAATCCACTCTTGTAATAATCAACTTCTGAACATTTTTTAATCCCGCATTTAAAAGGCTTCTACAGTTTTTTGCAGTTTACTCAAAATAAGAGAAAATGGACATTAGCGGTTTTCGCACGAGCCGATTCATTTATAACTTGAGATTTAGATGGATGGTAGATCTTGAATATTACTTAGAGAGATGGAAAAGTACAACTTGACAAAATTAAACTCACTCGGACGTCTTTTCTGATGGTATCGCCAGCTAATCTGCTGAGTTCTTTCATGTTCCTTGTCATGATGAGCATTTCTTCAGCGATATGAGCCTGCTTAGATTGTTGGCTTTTTATACTATCGTCCAAGCTCTCATAAATATTTGCCTGTTGCACATCGCGAAATCTTAGACTGCTGCCTGAAACACATAAATTCATTATGCAAAATACTTGTCATTGAGAAAAGGTTATTGCGAGAGGCTGCTCGATGTATCGTTACTTTTCGATGGTGAAGGTGCATAGTTGATAACTTCTGCACCATATTTTCAATGCAGAGGGCGTGGTAAGTTAGATCCCTGACTTGATGGTGGAAAACTGCCCTAGGAGTTAGCTTAGCATCAGCATTTTGCCCCATGGTTATGTATTGCCTTGATTTTCACCGAAAGGGAATTGATTTTAAAAGTTTGCCTGATAGACAGGACTAGATTAAGGTGGAATGTAGCTTTGTGATTGGTAAGTTACTCGTATGTCATTCAGATGACCGAGTGACCTATCACATACTTGCATTACATTTTAGTCTTGTTTTGTCCACGAGACAAACACATAATTACATTCATCAGTATATGGATGGCAGAATGTACTACAATGAAAACTATTGTAAATGGCAAAAAAATTGTCTTTCAAGCAGAACAATTTTAAGATCATGGGACTGAGCGCAACAGAGTGACAAAGAATCTCTCAAGCGCTGCTTCTGCACCATCTTTCAAATTTGTAGAGAGGCAATAATTGTTTATTCAGAATCAGTTGCCAGACTCAAGTCCTGCGACGTCCACGCAATGTTATAACGTCAATCAATTATTTTTGCACCCTTAAAAATGAGGATTTGAAAGTTAAGGGTGCTTCTTTACAAGCATGACATAAGTAAATTTTCAGAATTTTTTCAACATTTGAAATTCCAAGGAAACAAAAATCTGCAAGCTTACAATCTTCTGATACTGATAGGTATTGAACATTTTTTACCTTGAAGATCAAAAAGCTCATCTCGTATCTCACCGGAGAATTTGGCAGTTGTCTTTTGATGTATCTCTTTGGTGAGGCTGTTGGGTAAATTTGAAGACAGAAGCTGGGCAGCCATCACTTTTTCGAATGGATTTTCCTGAAATAAAAGGAATCATATTAATGAAAAAAGAAGAGAAAAAAATGGTTGATCTTTATTGTAACTTTTAAATAAACTATGTACCTGATGTTGAACTAAAGTCTGTACATGAATGACTTTAAAAGCATTGTTGCTCTATTTTTTGGTCAGAAATCATGAGTCTAATGTATAGCATAAATGCATTTCCCATTCAACTTTTCATCTTGGAGGTGCTATGGATACTTGAATACGATTTTACATTTTAAGTTACAGCCCATTTTCTCATTTGATTTTTTTCTGGTTTCAAAAACTGCACTGAATAATTCAGCTCATTTGTGCCAGTAGGTAAACAAGTTGAGTTGCTCCCAACTTGGTTCTAAGAATAATGGCGCGGAATTTTCTCTGTGACAACTTGACAAACATTGCTTTTCTGAAAAATTTCCCTCCGTTCATTGTGGTCTCTTTCCCTGCGGACAGAGACGTTCTTAATTTCATCCTTTCCACTTTCGATAACTTACAATTTTTTGGGTCTTCAGCAGTCCTCTTAAAAATTCGATCCTTCTCTTGTATAAGAAAATATTGTTGTTGCTTGCATCTCTGAAATAAGAAAAATTTTACAGGAAAATTAAAGAATTTTGATAAAGTTTTAAAACTAAAGAATTCATCCACTTGTGATAATCGTAACTGTAACATTTCTCCCATTACTTCAATATTCAAAACACCCATGGTACACTCAGACATCTTCCAAAAATTAGCTCAACCACAGTATCATTAATGGGGTCAAAGCTCATTATTTCGACTTCTGTTGCAACATAAAAGACAGGGACAGATTGAAAGACTTGTCAAGGATGTTCTATTACCTGAAGGTTTCAAGCCAGCCCTAGCATCCTGAAAGGTAAAATAAAATCTGTGTCCATGTTAAGACCAGGTCCTAACATATGTTGTCCTGTTCCAGGTTAGGGACAAGGACACTTTAATTAAAAAAGTATGAAGTTACAATCCTTGACTCATGACTTCTCTTTTTTTGTTCCCAAAATTATTAGCGCAGTTTTGGTGCACTTGATAAGACAGTCAAAATTGACTCTTGAGCTGTTATAAAATCAATATCCCCTTCACAACAGAATAAAGCTTTGTTTTTCAGGTAAAAATGGATTGAAATTGAAGGAATTAACCCAGTCACGTCACAATTTGCTGTGTCCTCCACAATGGAACATATCTTATCTGCGTTGTTTCAGTATTTCTGCGAACATTATATTTTTTCATAGGAGTACTGTCGCATGAATTTATTCGATAATTCCAGAGTCTTTTTTCACGGAGTAAAGAAAAATCACTAGAAATTTAACGGGAATTCATGGGATGGCTTTCCTATGACCAAATGAAGTGTGGATAAGAAATACTAAAACAGCACATTCGAGGTACGTTCCTCCATGCAGAAGGCGACAAATTGAACCGGGAAGAAACAACTCAATTTTCGGAGACGAAGTTCCATGCCCATACATAGTCACTTTGGAATTATTTTTCCTTCGACTTCAAAAATTGACAAGAGAAAATGTGCAGCAAGTTAAGCTTAAACCTATTCCTACGTCATTGTGTCCCAAAGTAAAACTTAGTTCCTTTATGTTTGATTAAATTAGACTTCTAAAGGGTTACATTAAAAGGTTCTAAAAATGTTAGAAGAAACTTACTGATTTAACTTTTCCAATTCTTCAACCATTTCCTCCAATGTTCCAATAAACTGCAAAAAGAAACAGGATGCATCAGGTGTCAGTTGAAATGTTGCAAAGAAACATTCTTTTAATTTTGAAACATAGTGGAGAGCATTTTGAGGCTTAACTCCAAACATTAATGAGAGCACCTATAGGAAAACGTTGTGTTTAACTGTAGCATAAGCAATCAAATATGATCAAAATATTGACCTTGAGAGTATAGATTAGAGGAGTCTAAGCGTTTCAGGAAACTAGTAAGGTGGATTGAGTCTGCATCAAATAAGTCGACACACTATAGGAGTGTGCTAGAGGATCTGCTGTCTTCATTTTACCATTGAAAGTTGATAAAAAAATCAAGATGGTAGTGCTGTTGCATTAAAAACAAGCATAAACTTGTTTGAAGTGGACTCTGAGTGGGTGTTAATCAAAAGTAAGGATACCTTTTCTAGTCTCCAAGTCTCTTCAGAGTTCTGTTCCCGGGCCATTTCTTCACATCGAGCCAGTAACCTGCGTACATCAATGTCAAGGCGAGAAAATGATGTAGTCATGTTAAGATTTAGTCTGGAAGGACAAAAATAAATTATTTATTGATTAGGTACCAAGAGAGACTAGATAATCGCCTGCCAAGTTTGATGGTAGGAGCTCCCTAGAGCAGGGGTTTAGAGCTGAGGTTTGAGGCAGCATCATAAACGGAGCGACATCGCCGTGCCAGGCAGGTATCCGGCGCAGACTTTGATGCCGCATCGGACAGTGCGCCGGGGGATCGCATTTGTCGGCGAAGCGGCTTAACCCGGCAAAGCCGACACCTGGCATGGCTTCATGATGCCGCATCAATTTAGATGCTGGGTACCCAACATCAAAAGTGAAGCAGCCTCATTTAGACACGTCGGACGCCAGCGCCCCGGGCCAGGCTGCCGGACGGCTAATTGCACCGGGTTGTGTTTTCAACCCTCCCTCGGCGTCCACTTTTTAGAACGTCCCGGCAAGACGGGGGCGCCGCATCAATGGGAAACGTAGACAAAGGGGTGTTCCACGAAATTCATCACCAAGTCCAAGGGTCGCATACCCCAGTCTCCTGAGACAGTCCTGTCAGTAATGAAGCTGGGTCGTGGGACCGAAAATTGATGCCTCATCAGGCCGAGCGCTAAGGCTCCAGCATCAAAAGGTGAAGCGCATTTTGGTCCCTTGCGTAGCAGCAAACCTCAGCATCAGCGCTTAGTGCTGGCCCGGCCGGCACGTCAGCATGGGCATCAATGCTCGTAGCTGTGCCTGCTACCTGGGCATACAGTAATATAATGCTAATGCTGCGAGCCGATGATATATAGCATAACCTCGTGAGGCAATTGAAATCCTTGCCCTAGAGTTAATTGGTTTTGGCAGAAAATAGAGGAGGTGATAGAGATGGGGGGTGCAACTGTCATGTCTTGACAAAAAATTTCATAGCCCTGAGGGTGCTGGCTGTGCGTCCAGTTGACACAAATAGGTAACAGTGCATGTTGTTAAGAGCAATTACCAGGGAGAATTACATGGTCCAACATAGTCTCATTGAGGTCTTATTCTTTACATCTTAGTATTTTCCTTTCACTATCTGTGCCAGGAGGAAAACTTGCTCAATATTGATTACTTACGTACAGGTACCTCTGACAAGATGGAAAAACGCTGTCAGGTGCAAGATGATAAGCGATGAATCAGAATTAAAGGAGAGGAAGAGTAGTGTAGGTTGCACTAATCAACAAGCATAAAATAATTAAACGAAGGAAAAAGGAAATGCAAATCCTGCTCTTCAGCGAGTGAGGGCACTTGTTATCAGATAACACAACGCGATGTTATCAAAAATTGGGTTAGTAAACAAAGATTTCCCTTCTCTGATTGGTGGAAAAAGTTTTCGATGCAATTGATGAGCTGATGATACAACGAATCAGCTGATTGGGAAAGCTGGAATTTCGACGGGAGGGGGCTGGAGAATGGAGCTTCCCGAATTTCCTGTTGTGGTTGTGTTTTGACTGACTGGTTGTGATTATTAAAGTGATTGTTCAGAACCTTATGTTAGTATTTTCCCGTTAGTTCTTATGATAAGAGATTAAAATGTCAAATATCGTTCCAATTAGTACCAATTCGTCTACGGAAGACTCATTTGACTTTCTCTTCAAAATCGTTTTAATTGGAGACTGTTGTACTGGTAAAACTTGTGTAGTTCAAAGATTTAAGTCAGGAAACTTTGTCGAAAGACATGGCAATACAATCGGTGTGGATTTCTCTATGAAGACAGTCACTGTTGATGGAAAGAAAGTTAAAGTAAGTATACTTTTCACTTTTGTTTATGGAATGAGAATGACAGTCTGTGAGTCCGGAAGTTGATAAAGTAGAGCACTCTAGAAGAGAATTACGTCTTTTTGAACCATTCCAAGTCATTGTGGCACTAAGTTAAATTTTTGGTTGCATGTATGACTCACCTCAAATATGAGTTCATTGATTGACAAATACCCTGTGTCCGACACAGCGTGAAAACAACTTGAAAGGGAGCGAAGATTGTTGAAATTTCGTCACTTACCTTGATGATTTGATGAGAATCATTTGAATGTATGATTTCACATTATTTCACTAAAAATGTTTTGAACGGTTTTAAAGTCACCTCATAACATTTAAGTAGATGAATTTATTACTGAGTGGATGGCGAACAGAACTTTCCACAAACAGATGCTTACATTGTAGTTTTTCTACCCTATTCCGTGGGTAAAGAGAAATTGAGACCTGATTTTAGATGAAAGATACCATCTTGGTAAACCCTTTATCACACTTCATTAGCCTTTCTCCTATGTTAATTGCACGGTTTCCTGCAATTACAAGTCTCATCATTTACCTTGCGTGACATGAAAATCTTTTTCTCAGAGGCCATATCTAGAGAGTCGCTGTCTTATTTCACATCCAAAAGCTTTCTTAAGGATTATGGTCGAGACTTATATTGCCCTAATTAGTAATGTAATGTCATCAATTTTGAAACTTTTTCAAAGACATTCCTAGTTTTTGAGCATTGGTTTCTTATTTGCCCATCACAATACTCCAATGATATTTAGCTAGAAGTGTGGTCTTCTCTGGTCATCAATCCACTTAACCTGCCATTTTTTCCTCTTTTTTGTTTCAGCTTCAAATTTGGGACACTGCCGGTCAGGAGCGATTCCGAACAATCACTCAAAGTTATTACAGATCTGCCAATGGAATAATTATCGGTAAATAATAGATTTTAAGCAACAGATTGATGGCTGAGTGCGAAAAATGTTGATCTCAAATGCAATGTATAAAAATTCTCAATAATGCTTTATTTTCTTGAAGGATAATTATTAAAAATGGCAGGATTACAGAAAGTTCCAAGCCTTCTTCTGAATTTAATTAGTCTTCTTTCAAATTCAATCAACCTTCCCCCCCCATTTCAACCAAAATTCTTAAATACTCTTCTCTGAAGACAAAAGAAGAATTAAAAAAATTGAATGACCCTTTTCCAAAAAAATCGGACTTTTTAACAGCTGAAATGCTGTATATCACTCGAGGCTCGCTCATTTTGTCTTGTTTTCTTAGGGGCTCCCCCCTTTTTTTTTTCCCTTCAGGAGGTTCCCCCTTTTCACTTGACTGCCATTCAACCAAGTAAGTTGCACAATCAGAAAATGTCTGTATTTCTACAAAATGTTTCCCCGCAATTTTGTGTAATTTTTAGGATAAGTTAAGAATATATCTACAGTGTAAGTCCGAAATCACATATCTCGTTTGCGGTGTCTGAAAATCTCCGCCTCCATGTTATTTTTTTAAAGGAGGACAAATTGACATCATTCCTTGAAGTTTTTGCAGAATTTTTTTCGCACAGAGAGGAAAAATCACAGCAATTTTAAAGAATGGCCGATGAGTAGTTTTTTTGTTTCAAAAATAAAGTATGACAGGAAGTCTGGGACGTCACAAACCGAGTTATGTGACTGCCAACTTACACTGTCGATATGCTTCAGTGTAGCCCTAGTACCCCCTATTGTTACCGTATGTAATCATTATGTAGAAATTTTTCCTTATCAGTATAGATGTCCTAGTGTAAGGAAAGTGAAATAATTCTCTCAAATAATGCCCACTTGTCCACATTTGTTTCTAGTACTTATTTGCCTTTGAGTGAAATTACAATCTGAATAAAGAAAGGGAATAGCCATCCTTCCTTTGCAGATCAAGCCTTACCCAGCTGATCAAATATTCAAATTTTATGTGAGCTTAAGAATAGCTCCTAAGTACCTAATCTGTCAATTCCTGACTTTATCAAGAGATGGGGCAAAATCATATCACACACTCTGCCTGATTGTTTAATTTCTAATGAAGAATAAGTCATTTAATGTAACATGAAGAGAAAAAGCTAAATATCTGAAGGATGCAATAGTGTGAGCAATATCTGTAATTTCTGTTTTAGTGTACGATATTACAAAAAGAGCAACGTTTTTGAATCTTCAACGATGGATTGAAGAAGTACGGCGGTACACAGCATCAAATGTCATCTTAATACTTGTTGGTAAGAAGATCTTATCCGTCTTGCTTCAGTTTTTTTTAATAGCTCTGAGGATAAGTTTTCTCTGGTCTACAGAATATTCTGTTGGAGAGAAAATTGATATATCTAGCTTCGGTGAAAATTTTATTTTCGGCTCTTGCTTTGGAGAACATTAAATGTATTACCTGAACAGTGAAAGGAGGGCTGACACAAAATTAGAATGTTCGATCATTTTCTGAAAAAAATCCGTTTTCTTTTTCTCTAAAATCTGTAATGCACAGGTCTAAGTAATGTGTTGCCTTTCAAAATTCAGAAACTAGTATTGGAAATTTCTCAGGGATATCAATATTGTGAATAACATGGGAATTAGAGAAAGGGAACCTTTTGAATGTCTGAGAGTTAGGAGAGTTATCTTCTTGAAAGAGCGCCTTCTTTTTAAAATTCCATTTTGGTGCTCAGCATTTATTAACAGCTCTTCGAATATTTATCCTGTTTTGTAACTAATTTTCTCTTTTCTCAATCAGGGAACAAATGTGATCTAGACTCCTTGAGAGAAGTAGAATTTGCAGAAGCGGAGGCCATGAGCGAGTACATACCAGAAATCCTGTATGTATTGGAAGCATCAGCGAAAGAAAATACAAACATTGAAGATGCCTTTATGTGCCTTGCTACGGAACTAAAAGTAAGTGCCGAAAAAGTTTTGCCATTTCATAGATTGGTGCAGGAAACATTTGTCTGACTTGCTAAGCAATGTAAAAAACCAACAAAATGATAAAATAATACTCATTAAGCGAGTTTTTCCTTTAAATGATAGTACAGTACCCTCTGTCTCAATAATGAAGGGGCAATGGGCCGAACAATTTTTTGTCTTCGAGAAATTTATGGAGAAATTCGTATTATAATGGGTTTTGTCATAGGAGAAGAGAGAAAGAGCACTGTGGTTGCTGAATCATTGTATCACTGTTTCCTCATTTTATTCTGTTATTTTTGTTCCAACTGAAAATAGGAATAGCTATATTTTTCTTTAAACTTTCTGGTGTAATTGATCATAGATAAAAGTCTTAATATTGCTTTAAGTAGTTTTATAACATAGACATTCATAATCCCTGCTATGTATTTAGGGAAATTTTCATACAGTGATCTCTTTGAAACCTCCTTTTTATCGATCTATTTTTATGTATAAACTTTGAAGTTGTAAATTCTTCATCGTGTGAGGGGTGAAAAATTTGTAATCTGGTGTGAGGGCCCATCTACCAACTCTTTTATTTGTAACTAGCAGCCAAGCCGCGCTCTGTGCAGCACTATCGCAGCTAATAGATTAGTATACCTCATATTAGATGCTTCTAACTTTTAATTTACTAATCATATTTTATCTTTCAAGTAATTAATAGTGAGCACTGATAATTCTAAGTTAGTGAAGTATGCATTGATTTTCCCGCAACATACACTCTGCTAATTTTACAAGTAGAAATATTCTGTCACTATATTAACAAATTTTAGTTTCATGCAACTACATAACTACAATTTTTACAAACTTTTACAGCTTAACAACTTTCTAACTTAGGCAATAACTTGAGGCAATTCGCGTTTTGTCGCAAGCTATAACCAAAGTTAGGTGAACGGTTACAAGAAATTTTTTTCTTTTTTTTTTTTTAATTGTTACAATTTTAAGAAAATTAAAACTCACGGAGAAAAATCAAAGTTTTTCGTTGGTTACACGGTAGTAATGTCACACGGGATTTCACGGTAGTAGAACCATGCATTTTGGTAGTTTATTTAAAATTTGAACAAAAAATTTGCTCTTTGTTCCTATAACGAGTTTTATTGTTTTCAGAGGAGACATGATCACAGTTCGTACGGCGAAGAGTCTGACAGCGGCAACACCGTGCGTTTGGGTGAGGGAAAAAGTGTCAAAGAATGCAGTGCTTGCAGCCTAATATAATCATCACTCAACTGAAATGGAAACTATACCCCTCTGTCTGATCTCAGTGAAATCCTCCTTACACCTCAAACAGGCTGTTTTCAACAATGAAGATGTCTAATCAGTTAAACAGTCCTTCTCCAATATTCTCTCACCAGTACGATGATTATACAACATCAAGATCGGGTTTGAAATTAAGTTCCCTTGCACTCAGAGGAATTCTGTATTTTGAAAGGAACTTTTACATCCTGTAATCAATATACAGGTTCCAGATTTCACCTGTGAGAAATTCAAATCTGCTTCACTTCGGAGCTATTAAGAATGTTGCTGCTTTGAATCTTTCATTTAATCACATTGATAAAAAAATGGACCTTGTCATAGGTGCGTTTTGTAGAAAATGATCAAGCATGGGGCATAGTTAAACGTATTATACTTTGAAATGACTTGCAAAATCAGTATTATTCATAATGGTAGAGCGGAACACTATGTGTCTCACTGAAACACATTCCAAGCTTCAAATGAGTCTCCAGTTCAAAGTACGTTAACGTTCTTACTTCAATCTGCAATTTTCTCAGTAAGTGGCAAAATTTCTAAAGCTCATAGTGATTTTACCAATACTCTCTCTACATTTTTAGCATATCAATAGTTTTCAGGCTCACTTGTACAAACAAGATTGATATAATCAGGTCAGCCCATTGACAGAGCAACTTTTGAGTTCCCGATCTGGCTCAGTCTGAAATCAATAGTCAAATGCAAAAAAATGTGTATTCCAACTGCAAAGCTTTAAAATCTCCAATTCTGGTGTAATTTCCCTTATTTTATCGTTTTATTTGGAGGCATGATCTTTACAAATTTCTGTGACATGAGTAACCAACTCATTAGGGAACTCCAAAGATGGTAGCGCGCGGCTCTGCCAGTGAGCAGTCCTGAGTCTGTCAGCCTTGTTGATTAGAAATCCTGCTTTTCTTGCGAGTATTTTAAGTATCTACCCTTGGAAGAAAAAAAAAACCTCCTGTCTTGAAAAGTCAAATGCTAACTTTGACTTCTTCTGTCTTCTCTTTCAGTATCTATCTCTAATTTCAGGAGACGTCAGCGAGTGAAAGCATATTTTAACAGCAGCTTTAATTATTTCTCTATTTAGTTTAACTGTTTTTTTTTTAGATTATTGAGGATGAGAAAAAGGAGAGAAAAATTGAGGAGTAGTGGACATGTCATCTGCGAGGGTCATTATTTCGCCTTATACTAAAGATCGTAAGAAGCATCTTAGAATTATATACTAACTATTAAACTCTATACTTAGTCTGGTCCAAAGCGACCGCAATCTCCCCAAAGACCTGCAGATGCTTGTAATTACATCAAAGCGACATTCTACAGTTCACTACCACCTCCTTCTCTGAATGTATGTGGAATTGGGGTAATTGTGTCAGTGAATTAAGATTGAAAGTTAATTAATTTTAAATTTATTTGTTGTTCCTTATCTTTTAACAAAAGTGATTTTTATTTATACCTATTTTTTATCCTCCTATACCTTAGTAAGTTTCACTTTTGTGTACTCACCCGTGTTGTAATGTTTCTCGGTTATCTGTACGAGGATATGTGTATTATTCCCTCATTATTAAAGTGCTGTGGTCATCCAGGGAAAGTTGCATTAGTTAACGATACATCTTTTCAATTATTTTCTCAAGTGTCAAAATTAAGACACTTTAATCTGAAATCTAACAACATCACAAAAGTTTCTCTATCTTTCCCACATGTATAAGATACAATTCTGAGATAGCGCTGGCCTTTCTCCTAGGCCTTTAGTTGCCAGTAGTGCCTGGTTCTAGAAAACAAAGTATATGACCGGCTGCAGGCAAAGGGACCATATTCCATGCTTGCAAAATTTTTAGGAGGGCAATATTTGTTGATGAAAGGTCGATGAAAAAATTTAATTTGCCCCTTCAATTGGTGGGAAGTATTATTGCATCTATATTTTCTTTTCAAGTGGCCAATGACTCAATATTGACTTCTTAAGTGATCAATAACTGAACAGACTCAGAGCAAATGCTGAACTTTTTGAAGCTCACTATCTTAAGAATCATTTATATTCTTTGTTCAATTGTGTTTCGAAAGAAGCGCTTCTATGGAGCCTTTCAATGAACCCAAGCACTCCTAGCCAAATGTAAACAATGGTTAGTACAAGTGAATCACTGGTCCTTTTTTTGTTGTTTCTATTATTTTTTAAATTTTCTTGTCTTATAAGACAACTGAAAAATGAAAGACATGTAGTTTGTAGGTGCAGAGGTGAGCAAGATTATTTGTTTTCACCCAGCAGTTATTTTTAATACCCTCTTAAAAAGAGCCAATTCTCCGCAAGTACTTAACACTAGGAAAGAATTATCTAACCTGGCCCACTTTAGCAGATCTTACCAAGGATGAGTTGAATAGCTTTTATCATATGGGACTTTTTTGGCTTATTTCAGAAACAACACATCTGCTATTGATTTCTCCCTGTCAAAGTGTTTGTACTTATACGCCCAGCCACTAGGTCCTTTTTTGATAAACACTGTTTCATTAGTATGAATAACTGGGGAGAGTTTTTTCTACCTTCCGTGTTTTTACAACCGTCACCAAGATTTTGGGAAAGAATCTCTTCCGGCAGTCGTGTCTAGAAGTTTGAAGCTGACAGATTAGTCAGTTACTTAATTTTGTCCAATGAGCTACCAGAGGAGGTCCAGAGCAGAAAAAAAGTCCCATGTGTTAACTTGAGAGTCTTTTGTAGAAGACAGTTCACAAAACTTGAAGTTCAGGACATGATTTTAACAAGTGTTTTTAGAGCAGATCAAATGGATCGCATTTAGCAAAAAAGAACCAGCGTGACTACAGTGATTTCAAAATCTTGCAACTTCTTTTTTTCTTTTAAAAATACTAAATATATGTACATACAGTATTAAAATTCACACAATTATCCCCCTTCAAAATTAACAATATTTTGGTGGGATGCAAAAACTATTTGCTATTTTGGGAGATTTTTTAGATAATTATGAAGAAGCAACATTTTAACAGCACTGTAATTGCGCTGGTTCCTTTTTGCTAAATGCGATCCAAACGGATGTCAGGCAATATAAATGACGTCATTCTTATTTTCGACTTTTAACCATGATGTTTATTGTAACTTATATCTTATTTAGGGGTTGATTTCTAGACTTATCATTGTGCGATTCATTTTTCTTGTGTAACTTTAAAAACGAAACATGTCACAAAATGATTAATTCATACCTCATCCAAAGGCCCACTCTAACACCATAAGCTATTGGTCCTTTTTCTTCCCTCAAATTCCATGGACATCCTCCTGTTGCTTTAGTTTGGAAATCCCAATGAATATACTCTAAAGTGGAGCCTATATTTTTGTTTAACCTTCTTACCTTTGTTAACCCCTCAATTAAATAGAGAGCCCCAGGTCTTTTAGGACTCATCTCTGACTGTGCTTTTCTTTAACCCCTCATTAAATTGTGCAATAATCTACTCATCGAAGATCTTGACTTGGCTGCCTCTTATTTTTACTCAATCGAATTAAAAAAAAATATTCGAGACGAAGATCTAAGTAGTGTCAAGCTCTTCTCTTGTTGGTGTTAATATCATGACGAGCTGTTTCAATTATCTAATTGTTATTGTCTTGTAGATAATCATTAATAATTAGCTAGGTATTTGTGTAAAGTGAGTCCTGTTGAAATTTGATTACTCCTATTATGTAGTTCCTGTACCTGTACAAAATCATAAAAATTGTTTAGGTAATAATAGTAGTTACGAGTACCTACCCTCGATTGAGAAGTAACCTGCTTTTTTTAGACCATGAATACTAATTCAAGGGAAAAACTTATACCTTGCTCATTCCATCCTTAAAGTGATTCGTCCTGGGGTTTGACAATGGTTAAACTAGTGTTCTAAATTTTGGATTTTATTGGGTCATAAGTCTGGACGAATCAAGGGTGCAATATCTTGTAAGCTTCTATATTTTCATACGCTCGCCTGCCGGCGTCCACAAAATTTCCCACCGATTCCATAAGTGATAACCTTTTTCATCTTCTTAATTTTGACTCGTGACTTTTGACCCCCGGAAATTTTCAGTTCCTTCTCGCAAAATGCTGTCCGTCTGTTTCATCAAGTACATATGCTAACTTGACGACAATCAAACCTCCGAACGAATCACTTCAAAAAATTTAATAACTTGAAAGTAGCTCAAGAGTGTGGGCTCTTTTTCGTTATTTCTTGTATTCAGCTGGAAGCATCAAGCCCCTCAAAAACAAGGAAGGTATATGTGGATGGTGAAACTGCAATAACGCGTAACTTGGTTCATGACACTGCAAACTTCCTATCATAATTGATTTTTTAAATAGAAAAATACTCTATGTTATTTTTTAGAAAATTACCTGATTCTTCCTCTGTATGTGAAGAATGGTCTGTAGACATTTCAAGAAATTAAGTTTGTTTGTCCTGTTGTAATAAAACAACAAAATGCAAGCTGAGATTTTGGAACATGGCAAATTTAACATGTGTTTTTACAGTTTCACCGTCAATATATCATTGTTGTAGAAGTGCATTTTTTTCTCTGAACTTTCTTAAGTACTTAATTATTTAGTTTTAAGCAGGGCTCAAAAGTTAACGCAGAACCAGAATTTTTTTTAATACATGAAGTAGGAGGACCTTTGACCTTCAATTTTCGTGTCATTATTTTTCGTCTGAAAAACTAATATTTTGCCTCTCATCTATTTCATGCTTTTAAGAAGAATAAATACACATCTCACATCCATGATGTTAACATTTTTATAATCAGAGTGTTGAAGATGAGATTTGTCCAGACATGTATTTGCATTTGTAATGTACTCTGTAAAACGATCTGAGACTCCCGCGAACTTTTCAGGAGAAAAAAATAAATGATAATGATCAAAACCAAAATTGTTCTTATTTTTGAAGTTCATGAATGTCTCTTTTATAAAATTTTGTGTTTAAAGCTCATTTTTGTCTTTTGATATCCTAAGAGCTATATGTTCTCTGTATTATGCTAAAAAAGCGACAGAACATTTTTTAAAAGCAAAAGAGGGGAAGGAAGAGGGAGAGAGAAAGAGAGAGAGCAATAGAAAGAAAGAAAGGGAGATAAAGAGAGGAATTCTGTTAGTGCAAGTTGGCCTAGACTATTTTCATTGGTGTGAGCTCTTTGGTTTTGTCGTCTGCTGGCTCACAAAATTGATAACCTTAAGAGTGGCTAAGTAGCAGATCAATAATGTTCAATTTAAGAAGTATCGTACAGTTTTTCTGATCTCATCCGAAACTATTCATGACAATTTCTTTCAAATGGACCGTGTTTAACAGAAAGGAACGAAGCCACTTCAGCTAATGCCAAATTTAACTGGGCAATTCACTTTTTTACAAGAGAACGTTTGTGCGGATTCTTTTGAAAATTTCAAGGAATTTGCTCCGTAATATTGAGGAAATTCACTGAAATTTGCACGGAAATCCGCACAACCGTTTTCATATAAAAAATGAAATTGCCCGTTTAAATTTGGCAATAACTGATGTGGCTTGGTTCCTTTCTGTTTAACATGGTTCAAATTATAGTCAAATAGAAAAGAGCAGAAAATATGAAACATGACAATCAAGATTCAGGATATTTCTTTTTCGTCTCACTGTCAAAATGCAATGTGTATAATGCTGAGGCATGCACGATCAAAAAGGTATCAGGTTACTTTTTTCAAATATCAGAGAACTGCAGAAACCTGTAACTTCTTTTTTTAGACCGAATGAATTTTTGGAGCTCAAACTTAAATTAGAGCTTAGGACCCCGGCAATCAGAGCGGAAAATTTCAAAAGTTGAAAACTATATTTTTATGCACATATCCTTGAAAGAAAGACAGATTTGGGCTGTTAGATCTAACCTGTTTTTCACCATCACAAATCTCATTAAGTTTTGCGTTCTTTAAATCCTAACACTTCATTGATGCAACTTCAGCATTTTGTTGGCGGACACGGTTCATATAAAATAGGACAATTATAAAATTTTCGGTAAAGACCTTAGCATGAGTTCATTTTCAGCTTTCATCCATTTTTTTTGTTGAGAACTCTTAAAATTTTGGAAGGTGGCCTTCTTCCCTAGATCCCCAAAATTTCATTTATTGCGGATTCCTTTTCATTGCTTAAAAAGCACTGATAGTTGGTTCTAGTATCTCAGCTCTATAAAAATGCGCTTTTACCCTTTTGATCCTGTATGCTACAGCTAGAATAAAATAGTTCAGAGGAGCAATAATTAAATAAAATCATTGTAATTTTTACCAATAATCTTTTTTTTCCAAAAAGTTATTTTTGAATAACATTTTATAAAACTTCAACGCTAGAAAAATAATTTCACATGAAAAAAAGGTGGAAAAAATTTAAAGAATTGATCAATAAAAAGCTAGAAAAAAATAACGATAACAAAGTAAAGAGCACTTAATGATCTATCGTATGACTTAGAGGCAAAAAGGGGTAACGAAAATTTGACCCCCAGAAAACATTACATTTAACTAGGTAGATTTCATAATGAGTCTTAGATTGAAATTGGTCGAAATCCATCGTTAAAGCTTTTCACTCAACGCCCAATTTTTATTTGCATCTATAGATATGTGAAAAAGGTTGATCAACATTTATTCGCAAACTCATTTTATGCAGGAAGTTAGGATGATCTTCATCAACTTTTGAGCGAAAATTCAGAGCAAATTTCATGACGTCATGTTGTTCAGTTATTCGTTAAAAAAATTAAACATGCGAAATAATTAGGCAAAAAAGAATGTAATGAAGCTTCCTCTGATTGAATTCGTCCATTTATATAGAATCAAATTACTAACAAATTGATGAGTCGTTTTGTTTTTCATGCAATTAAATTGATTTTTCAAACTAAGCTGCCTCAAGTTTTACTCAAAGTTTTGATTTTGATAATCAAGGAAAAGAGCTTGCTCATTTTGTAAAATCTTAAATCAATAAGTTCATGCCGCTGTAAATGCAAACAGAGGAAATTAGCTACAATTAGAGAATAAAAAAAATATTGACGGCTAAATGCAGAAAATGTGTATCCCAATTGCATCGTTTAAAAATCTTCAATTATGTTTTATTTTTCTCAAGGAAAACTAATCAAAATAATCCCTTGCAATTTTGTGTCATTTTTGTATAGAATAAGGGAAGGAAATTCACAGTAAATTTAGATACAAATTTTTTAATAGTTTTTGTTTAGAAAATAAATCATGAACAGAGACTTGTAACGTTGCAATCTGAGATACACATTTTTCGACTTTAGCCTTCGATATCAAATCCAGGCAACATGACACTCGCCTGAAGGACAATGTCAAATTATTATGTCAACCTTCATTATGAAATCATTAAGAGTTTGATTTAAGGACTTATGGTAAACGTGAATTAATACCGGGAAATGATGATGGATTTGACTTAATAATTTGAGATTTACGATTCTGTATGAGTTTGTAAAAACTTAAAAATCCTTTAAAAATTTCTTGAACTGTTTCTTTCTCTGTTTTCATCCACTTTTCAAATGTTTCCTTCAATTTTTTCTAAAAGTTTTAGGCTTTACATAGGCTTTTGCAAACATTGAGGACAGGGCACGGATAACGACGTCCCCGTTACTCTGTCAAACACCAGTTGTGAGTTTTGTCACTGCATAATTTTTCATTAACAAAACTCGGGCACCTTATGTTGCAAACACGTTTCAAACTGCATTGAACGCATAATATTTCAGTTTTGTCAGATGAATTTATCTCTGAAATGCACTGACCTCAATAATAAAAGGGTAAAAATAAGTGTTTGGATAACAAGGGAACCAGCTCACTTGCTACTTTACGAAAGCTGAATTTGGTACAGTTTTCTTTTAATTGGACTGCTTTTTAACTCTGTTATTTCCTGCATTAGCTATCTCAAGTTGGTAAGTACTTAGTGATTTCAACTTATTTTCATGAGAAATTAATAGATAACAGCTATATCTTTTCAGAACAATCGAAAAGTCAATTCTAATTACTGCGAATGTGTGCAGGTGCATTGTGGCCAGTGAAATTGTGGCTCATTGGACCACAAAAATGACCATCTCAAAATCTGGTCATGAAAAAGATAATTAATTAGTAAAAATCTTTACGCAAAATTTCCGAAAAGTACAGCCGTCTATTAAAACATGAATTGAGTGAGGAACACAAAATCATGCGACTGAATTTCAGTCAAATCTGAGAAAACAAATAAGAAATTGTAAAAATAAATAATGATCACAAAAACATCAAGGTGTTAAGACGACGGTTTTCAAGGCATCCTCTGGTCTTGTTTCGAACATCGCAACAGTTCCTTCGTTGAAGTTATAGGACATTCCACCATCTATCACCAAACTTGCATCGAGACACTTTGATTTGATCGTCACTTTATCTGCAAATCCACTGGGGATATGGGATGGATCTTCTTCAATGATGTCTCGAACAGTGAATCCTAGACGAGGATCCTCTGCAAAAATACAGACAGGCATTAGAATTTAAAGATAATAAATGCACTCATAATTTCATGCTTTCTTCCAATCGACGTTCCCTCTAACAGCAGCATCAAGCTTCCAAAAGGAGGGATCCCTAAGGGACTCTCGTTTAAACTACATCTGAAAGAGACAAAATGACACTGAATAAGTTAGCAACTTTCTTAAAGCAGATGGAAAAAATGATCCCTGAATCAACGACCAGGATGTTAAAAATCCCCGCAACAATTCTGAAATGTCTATATGAGCTCTCTTGCTGTTAATGTGACATCCTCGCTTCATAGTGTAAATAGCTGAAGCGTTTATGTCATTTCGGAGTTGTCACATAGATTATTTACATCTCGAATTCAGCATTTTTTTCCCCCGTGCGATGGACCACAAGACAAGGTAAGAATTAGACATATTTCCTCGACAAAATTTCTCGTAGTAAACATTGAACGTAGCAGAAACGTCCAAAATCAACTTATACGCAAGTGATTAACGTTTGTAGCTTGCATTATAAACACTAAATTCAAACTTCCTGTTCACGAAAAAAACATGATCAACGAAGGTCAAAGTAGGGTTTGAAAACAACCCATGCATTATGCAAACAAATGGAGTTTGGTATCCCACCCATTTTCTTCCTCTTTTGACACATGACACCTTTAGTCTTGTCAAACAAAAGTCACAACATAAGAGAATTCTTCCATTGTACTTCCATGTAAACATACTATAAGTAGTTGTGTGCTCGATTTGAGTAAAGTAGACTTCAGTTTTATCAGAGCGGAAAATAAGAACTGGCATAAAAAAACCGCTACATTCTTATCTATGCATTGGATAAGTAAAATTTTAGTGCGTCCATCATTTCAGCCCATCATTTAAGCTCAGAAAACACACCAAATATGCCCGCAGACAACCCACACCTTTTCTCCAGATTTCTAAGCTCGAAAATCAGGGTCTGGGTTATCTGCGAAACCAGTGTTCGAAACTCACCTTGGAGTTTCAGGAGCCATGTGGCGCATCAAGCCCAATTTTTAGGCGCCATTAAAGATTTTTTAGGGGCCAAATTCACTTTTTGCCTACATATTACGGCGCATTTGGTAAGAAGTCAGACGCAAGATGTTTCACTGATTCATTCTGCTGAGCCGCCGCGCTCAACTGCTTGCTTTCCGCGAGTTCAATCTGGTGCCATGCATCAAAATTTCGAATAATCACCTAATATGAACATTCGGATTAATAGGGGGCAATTTATAGGGGCCACGTTGGTGCAGAGCCTTCATTTTCAGGCGCCATGGCTGATTTTTTGAGTGCATTTGGCACGTTAGCCCCTGTGAGTTTTGAACACTGTGTGAAACTCGTGGAAATCACTTACCTATCAGGCGCTATTTGACGATGCGAGCGAAACAGACCACTATAGACAGCAGATGCGTGTGGATTGCACGGGAATTTTTTTTGACCCTATCAAAATCTGGGGTGTGGGTTATCTGTGGGTGTATACGGTGTACCATGGTGCTTAATTTTGTACCATATCTATTGGTTCATTGGACATATTCCATCATTGGTTATCATTCCTAAGAAAACTCACTAACAACGGTTTTGCAGGAACGGTCAATTACAAACCTGGATTAAAAATTAGGTTCGAATTGTAAGTGCGAGCAACATCATAAGCCTTGTTTGGATCTGCACCAGCAAAAGAGAGAAGCTTCCGGACTGTCTGTGTTGCTAGTTGATTGTGAGTGTAATGCCAAGAGGTTGAGCCCGTCCCTGTGCTTACGAGCATTCCGGAGCATTTCACTGGAATTTCATTAGCATCATCGACTTTCAAGTCAATGTTAGAGACTCTAGCTGACAACAGCTCACCTGCGAACACCTGTTATCATTGCGATTAAAAACACTGAGCCGACAATCGAAGCCGAAAATACTTATAGTGAAAATAGAGGATAAAATAAAAAGAAAAAAATAGAAATATCTAAATCAGTTAATACTTCTTTTTACCAAAAAAAATTCATACTTTCAATAAAAAAATCATGTCCAGTTCTGGTAATTTTTCCGAATGGTGTTCAGAATAAGGGGCCATGCCTACTTGTAGCTCAGAGCAAAGTAACACTCTGACGTCATCAACCTGCTGATCAATGTGCAATTTTCAGTGTCCAGGCCAGTAAGCAAGCAATAGCACCTGCAGGCTGATTATTGAGATTGATAGACAAAGCGATAGACAAAAAAGACATAGAGAGTTTGGAGCTATCCTATTGGTTAAAATGGGTGAGTCCTATAGACTAAGGGAGAAAATGATGGACTAACTATCGGGTCCCTCGTGGGTTGCCGTTGGTTAGTCTATTGCCTACCTCCTTTGTCCATTGCAACCACCCGCTTCCACCAATAGGATCGCTCCAAATCTCTTTTTTCTTCTTTGTCTATAGCTATGTCAATCAATTTCAATAATCGGCCCGCTGGAATGAAGACAGTTAAATGAATCTTTGTCTGTAAGTTATAGGTGCCCCCATTCCGAAATCCCGATAAACTTTGATAAGGCTGCAAATACGACTTGCGTCTGGCTCCATACAAACAGCAAAAGCTCCAAGTCTATGAATCGCTGCTCAGTGTGTTTGAAGGGTTCACATAATTTGTTGATTTTCAAAATCCCTGCTTTCAATTGTTTTTTTCTGACTGCAGAATTTTTGAATTCCCTGACTTGGTTCTGATTTTCAGTAAAAACCTCTACTTTTTGTCTTTCGATTACTCTGACTTTCGCTTAGCTATGGACAAAATCTCCTCCTCTAGAGATTCAAATTTAGGAGAAAGGCACTCTGAAGCTGTTTGCACTCGAACGGCACTAGATGAGGTTGTTGAGCTGACACGTTATATGCAGAATTCCCTGACTTTTTCAGGTTGCCGCAAATTCCCTGACTTTCCAGATCGCCGAAAACCCTGGTTTGTCGAATGGGTTGCATGGCTCATAAAACTCATTACTGTATCATGACTGTTTTTACATGGAACTCTTTTGATAGCTTACTAAAAAATGATAGGATACCCCTAACCTAGAAAGAAAGGTATTTTTAAGATTTTCATTAAAACGTAAATTAACTGGATCTGACGAAATTCATTAATTTTTCTACTTGCTCTTATTCTTCTACATAGATCTCTAGATTTACCTCATTCAGCGCTAACTCTGGTAGAACTATGGTTTTAGGAGATTTATTTCCATCCTCAATTTCATCACGAGGTTGATACAAGTTCCTGAAATGAGAAATTGAGGGCAAGTTACAATCAAGATTGTTTCGACCGAAGAGTAACAACTCAAAATGGCAAATTAAAGACAACAGTATTGAAGTGGATCTTCAGCTCTCAGGAGAACGCTTCAATAGCCAGGACATCTTTCAAAAAATCCCTGAACATCACAACGGACTGTAGTCCGTCAGGTATTCGCACAGAAAGTAAATTTGATTGAGAAACATTTAAAAATAATTTCAGAGGTATGTCCTAAATGAAAGTCCCAAATGAAATGACCGAACGATTTACAATATTCACTTGGGCTGTGCTTCCAAGTTATTTTAGTGTGTTTCTTGGTCAAATATTATGTACAAATACCTGACAGCCCATAGCAAGATGTGAGATTCAGGGATTTAGGAAAAAATGCCCTGAAATCTGAAAACAATCAATTGATCAATCGGAATTTGAATTGTTCATATGAGTGCAATAGAACCACCTTAAATGCATCATCGTATCCCTAAGAACATTCATATTTTGACGGTGTAAGTCGGCAATCACATAACTCGGTTTGCGACGTCGCAGACTTCCTATCATACTTTATTTTTTAAACGGAAAACTACTCAACGACAATTCTTTAAAACCGTTGTGATTTTTCTTCTCTATGTGAAGAAAATTCCGCAAAAACTGCAAGAAATTATATCAATTTGTTCTCCTTTAAAAAAATATTATAGAGGCAGAGATTTTCAGACACTGCAAACGAGTTATGTGATTGCCGACTTACACCGTCGATTTGTAAATTTAGGCTGAGCAATACATTAAAAGGCAAAGAATTGCTGCAGCTTAATGTTTAGGTGTACGGCAACATAGTCTTAAGATCCATTCAGATCAGTTACACTTCTGTAATTCTTTATTTAGCTTGTCCATGCAGGGAATGAGCTCACTGCAAAATAAAATCTGGCCATATTTGTTTCATTGCCACACAGATATTTCCTTTCCTATTTTCAGGTAATTACTTTTTGACTTGTACAATAGCTCCATGTTTAAAGATGCATTGAATTTAACTGTGATAAAAAAATAAAATAAAATAAATAAATTTGGAATTAGGATTGGAGGTACAAATTAAAAAACTTGCAAATAACATGCTGCCTGGAGAAAAATGCACTCATTCATCGTCAAAGGCGAGAGAAAACTTACCACCCTGCCAATGATGGCTGTGCATGCAGAATTTGAAGAGAGAAAATTTAGAGGAGGGGTTTCTATTTTCATAATTTTTTCAAATTCTTAGCCCATCATGTTATTCATTTGACTCTATTGCGTAGTATCAAGACTCTATAGTGAAACATTTGCTAAAAGTATTAAGTGGAAACTGAAAAACTGACATAGGACTAACCTACGTCTGTAGTGAAGTTCAACGGGAGGTTCGCCATCTCCATTTAATGTTGTACGGATTCGTGTTCGGTACATCCATGAAAATTGACCCTGAAATGAACATTTCCTTCATCAATATTATAACTCCATGAAATTAATAAAATATCTAGCATCCATCCAGAATAGTACTGTAAGAGATTTGTATAAATCTCTCTCCATTTTATATCAGTCATAATAATAACGTAAGAATAAAAATTTAAATGGTGGAATATTGAAAAATGAATGAAACAAAGCACCAGGTATGGTTAAAGATACAATATTCAAACTTTCTGTGGACTGATTCTTTCTCTGCAAATCTAACAGCGGTGGAAATTTTTTTAAATTACAATTTTCTCTTAAAATGATATACGGTAAGAGCCAAATCTGCTTATTAATAGAGCGCAATAAAAAAGTAAAACTCACCCTCAAGAGAATCAAGGACCTCATTCATAATTTTCAATTAGAGGACACGTTCAAGAAGTTAATAAATAAGTGTTCGGTTAGAAATGAGCAATATTAGGGGCTGTTCATAAAATATGTTAAATAATTATAAATCTGATTATTAGATCCTCTTCTTTTCCTTTCACACAGATCTGCATACGTGCTCAGATCCACTTTCCCCTCTTAATTAGCATTTGTGATGGATTTTAGATGATAAATTGCCACCTCATATAGATTTTTTGTTTAGGATTTCAAAAATTTGTTGCTGTGCGTGCATTTAATCTTTGCGTAATGCAGCCCTTAATACAAACCGTCCCTCGGTAATGCACCTGTGATGCAGGCTTGGGCCCTCATCCCCCCTAGAGCATTATTGTTTAATAAACGGCCCTTTACAGAAGATATTGCAGGTGAGCTTGCATACCTGTTTTAATTTCTCTAACGTTTCTTTGATGGTGCGAGGATTCAGCGAACAGTTTTTAGGTAGACATAGATGGCCTTTGGAATGTTGCAAATCTGAGTTAAAACCAATGACAGGTTTCTTCCGATTAAGAACCTTACTTGCAGCAACTAAGAAGGTGCCGTCTCCTCCGACAGGTATAACGGCATCAGCCCATGCTACATCCTCCTCTTTGTATGTTAGTCTGAAAATGAGTGCAGAAAATTTTTTTAAAAAATCAAGACCTAAAGTTCTTAGGGATAAAGTGTGGAAATTTTAGAACTGATTGGGACTAATTTTTTCTACAAATATCTTTCTGCACCCCTGAAAAGGTAGGTCTCTGAAAATATTCTTTGAAAATTTCTTGTAACAATATTTCTTTTAGGTCATTTTGTTTTAAAGTTAAGTTGGAGTGGAAATGTTGAAGTGCAGCAATCAAAACAAAATTTCCAGAGTCCTCTTTGAAAAGCAGATTACTTCTTTTTAAAAAAAACCATGAGCAGTCGTCAATGTTTTCACTCTCAGTGATGGTTTTGTTATATGAGTTTTTATGTAAGTAATAAACATTCTTATCCATCTCTTACCTATTCACAGTTCTTGACTCTATTTTTAGTTCCTGAAGAGTATTAGTGACTATTGTTTCAACCTCTTTCTGGGAATCATGAAAGGCAATGAGTCTTTTAATATCCGAGCCTCTTTTCTTTAAAACATCCATGAATTGCCCTTCGGACAAGTCTGGGTAGTTCATCTTTTCCAACTCCCATCGGGTCATTTTTGATAAAATCACAACTTTGTTTAACCATGATGAATCACTTGAGACACTACGAACAACATCCATTCCTGTAACCAAAAACAATTGAATTACTTGAGATTCAGCACCTATTGGCTAAAATTGTTGGAAGTTGCAGAGGATATCAAACTACTTACTGTGGAGAAGGCATAAAAGGGAGGGCTCAAAAAAAAACCCCAGAAATTTTCCGTTTACCTACTTGGCAATGATTTAAAGTTCTGAGTTACGTTAGAAGGATGTTTAATAAATAACATTGTGGAATCATTTGACTCAATTGTAACCATGTGGCACATTTTGTTTAGTATCAACTGGACTTGTCATGAGTAGAATTTATTAAAGTAAGAAAACTTTTCTTACATCCGAGTCTTTAATAAAACATATTCTGTATCTTAGAAAGCTGAAAGTGTCAGCCATGTTTCCACAAAGACTGGGGAAAAGTTACATGCAGCATGTCATTTGACTCGCCCAAAGGACTACTCACTTGCCAGACACCACTCGTACAGTCTCCTGAAGACAAAAGAACACTTCGACAGTGAAACTGCAAAAATTTGTATCAGATGCAGTGTTTCGAAATCTCCGTTTCTATTTTACTTTTCAAAAGGAGACCGAACCAACATCATGGCTGGAAGTTTTCACGTAATGTTCTTTAAAAATGAAGAAAAATTACTAAAATTTTCCAAAAACGACGTTCAGTAGTTTTCCAAGTGGAAAATGAAGTATGACAGGAAGTCTGCAACGCTGCAAACTGAGATCCGCACTTCTGCAGTTTCACCATCGACTTGCTATGGACATTGCAATTTGGCCTGTTAACTTTACATAGTTCTTGACACATTTTCTGAGCGACAGAAATAATAGTTCTGAACTGTTGCCAAGTAAATATGTATGGAGTGCCGTAGTCCATCAAGTAAATTCTAATCTATTCTGATTTGATCAGACCGGGCTAAAGATGTTTAACTGCAAGTGGATATTAACCTCTTTCTAACTCCACCATTTCAACATAGGGTTTTGTTTTCAGCATTACAAGAGCGCAAATGACTCACCAGAGGTGAAAAAGAGTTTTACGCATGTGATCATCCTTGAGGAGAAATTTGACATTAGAGAATGAGTTTACTATCCAGGTCAAACATTACGTCGCAATACATCACTGATGAATGGAGAGGAAGTGTGATAAAAGATTAGCTAATTAGAAGAGATTAGATAACATACGAGACTTTACCTACATGCACCAACAAACTTGAAAACGGGGTAGGAGAACTTTTGTTTCAACGCAGAATCGACCGAAAGAAACATTGGTCTTGTACATGTCTCATTCGCACTTTGATGCATGAAAATAAAATTGACAGGAAGCTGATTGGCTGTGAAATCATGTTTAGATCTTCTGAGGGCCATAATGGAAGAGGTGCATATATACAGATGCAGGTGTTCGATTCAATTATTAGAGGTTATCATGGTTAAGTACGACTTACTTGATACAGCGCTTTTCTTGAAACAAATTTGGAACAGTAACGATGCAAACATTGTCCTATCCACCTGTAGAATGAAATGTGGGATCGATTACATTATGGGGTTGGACACAAAATTAACTTTTGATACTTTAACAACGAATTACACAAAGTGATAGAAATCATACGTGAGAAAGAGAAAAACGAGGATATTTTCTAATCTCTTCCAATCCCTGGAGCCTGACTGACAGTAGTGTGAGGCTTAAATTCCAACAGCGGTCATACTTAACGCAACACTAGAAAAATTGCACCAGATAGAGATAATCAAAACTGATTATGGGAAGGACAAGAAGGCGGAGGAAATTTTTTACGTAAAGATAGATAAAGAGAGAGTATGATTGCCGGAAAATAAACACGCACACGTCAATCTAGGGGATAACTGACGTTTCAAAAACATTTACTTTGATAGATGTTTTTAGAAGTACTAGTATTAATGTAAACAAACAAACAAATAGTTCGTGATAACGTGAGCTTACTTTTGATAACAACATAACAACAGTGACAGGTGTCTGAGGAAATCTCCCCCAGTCAGTGCGTACATTTTACTTCACAGTTGAATCACAATTTTCATTCTGGAAGCGCTCTTCATTATCGTAATGTTTCCTTTCTCTCATTCATTATCATATTTTTAAATTATTCCCAATGGCAGCCATTCTACCAGACTCTGACAGTGAAGACGAATTGCCGTCCGGTTGGGAAGAAAGAGCAACAAGCGATGGCAGTGTTTATTATGTAAAGTGAGTATTTCGAGCTGTAGCTCTAATCATCCATGATTTAAATTATTTGTCCTTCAAGTTTCATTTCACTCTTCGTTGACTTTTCCTCCATCAAGTGATCGATCTTGGAGATCATTCCTCAAGTTCTTGATATACATACAAAAACTTTGTAATGTGTGCACTAGCAAGTAAGAAGTAAGTTTCTCCATCTATAGGGTTTTTTTTTATCCGTGGAACGCATGGATCGCGATGATAGCAGTTCGGGCTGGTTCAACCAGCCTGAACCAACCTCAACCTACCTCGGAAGAGTGATCCAAGCATTCCACTGGAACACATGGAACAGTTGGATCGCGCCAGTGGATCGCGATAAAAAAGTGATGTGTCCCGTTGTGGTCCACTGTGGTCCGGATAAAAAAAAAGCCCTTTAAAGGCTCACGAGAGGCGCTTTTCACTTGTCTCGGGGAAATTTTGAAGCAACATAAACATAACATATATAATGTGTTGTGGTGGATCGGTGACGATGTCTCACACCACCTATAGATCTGCATTCATCGGGCTATCATCATTATCTTCTAGTTTCTCATTGACCTATTGTTTTTCTTTCAGCCATTCTACAAAAGGCACTCAATGGACTCATCCAAGAACAGGCAAAAGAAAAATCGTCTCTGGAGGTAATAACTTTTTTAAGTAGGTAACGCCTGGGATTGTCACATCTTATTACAACTAAACTTTCAATCAAAGTTCAATGGAAGCCTTGAGCTCCCACTCATTACATTCTGGCCAGAGGTCACCTACCCTCTTTGGTTTCCTGATATTTAAATGGATCTAAGAACTTCATCTTGTCTTCTAAAAATAGTGTAGGAGTCTTAAGTACAATCCGAAGAAAAAAGAAAATTTGCTTTCTACCTGCAGAGGAGCATTTGAAATTTTTGCTCTCAAAGTTCCTGTAACTATCAGGAACAACTCAATCAGCCAAAAAACACTGTAAAATAACAATCTAACCTAGGAAAAGGCTGCTGTAAAGTACAGATAGTGAGAGACGTAACAGCAAATGGAAATGTTCCGAGATAGATAGTAAACTTATTAACAACCGGACACTTAAAAAAAAATGAATCATTGACCCACTGTTATTGCAAAATGAAGACACGTACTATAACAATGACCCTTAAGCAGAAATGAACGTATTTATTTTACAAAAATCTACCCACAAATTAATTAAATCAAACCGGACTTTTTGCATGCTTCATAGTTCCTTTTAATTGGTAAAATTCAGAGAAATAAAAGCAGGATAGTGCTAGGATAAAACCTTCGTACTCGATACAGCTATATCGATTTCTGTATCGAATACGAGCTTTTTTCCTAACACTATCCTGCTTTCATTTCTCTGCATTTTACCAATTATTGGGTTTAGAAGGATTCTCTAGGCTTGTGCGTAGGGGCTCTCATCCTATTTTGGCAAAAGATTCCAAATCTGCGGAGATTTTTGACCTAATCGATGCGATATATCGCATGCCAGTTTGACCATGTCACTTGAGCTTGAGGAATCACCTTAAAAATGCTCACACTATCCAAACTTGATGTGTCTTATAAGAGCAGGAAGTCAGTTTTGGACTAAGATTAATTAAAATTAATTTTCCAGAGCTACCCTATGGTTGGAAAAAGACGGTTGATGAAAACGGTAAAATATTTTATGAAAACACTGTGAAAAATTCTGTAACTTTTACTGATCCTCGGCTGGCTTTTGCAACGGAACAAAAAGAGCACCCTACTGATATTCGACAAAAATACGATGCTTCGACCCATGCACTTCAAATTCTACATGGACGCGATCTGTCAGGATCAGTTGCCATCATCACAGGAGCAAGTTCTGGAATCGGTAAGTTGAAATTCCAATTTGTGAGATTCATTTACTTTTATGAGCAAAACTCTTTGCACAAACCGAGGGTGTAAGTCGGCAATCGCATAACTCGTTGGCGGTGTCTGAAAATCTCCGCCTCTATGTAATTATTTTTAAAGGAGAACAAATTGACATCCCTCCTTGAAGTTTTTGCAGAATTTTCTTCGCATAGGGAAGAAAATTCGAGGCAGTTTTAAAGAATTGCCTTTGAGTAGTTATCTGTTTAAAAAATAAAGTATGATAGGAAGTCTTCGACATCGCAAACCGAGTTATGTGATCGCCGAATTACACGGTCGATATGTACCTACGCTCAACAGGTAGAAAGTTGGAGGTCTCTTGTGCAAGCAGTAACAAAAGGGCAGAAAGTATACGGAAAGGTACATTTTGATGTAAACTGATCTGGAGAAATTAAGGGTTCACCTCACTGTTAAAAATTTTGATACCCCTGTTTTCCATGCTGACTTTGAGGAAATTTGCCGCAAAACCCATTTAATTGACATTCCCTGAAATCACTCTTTAATGCTGCTGTTTTCATCTTGGCCAGAGGCCAGAGTTGCTTTCGGTTCATCTAGTACAAGAAATGTTCATTCCAGGAATATTACGACAAATCATTTAATATTGGAAAAAGGTTTTAGTATTATTTTGGTCTGTCTTTCCTCCTTTTGTGTCTAGTCCTATCTGGCCATGAAGATCCTCTTTTTTACTCTATCATTTCCTCATGCAAAAGTCTGTAGACCTCGTTGGGCATCCCAAAATGCACCTTGCGCAGAAGGCCTTCTCTTTTTTGTGCAGTAAACCCCATTTTTAGGCCCATTACACTAATTTATTTACATCTTTTTCAGGATTTGAAACGGCCAGGTCATTGGCATTACATGGATGCTGCGTTGTTTTTGCTTGTCGATCGGAGGAAAGCGCAACAAGTGCTATTGGAAAGATAAAATCGGAGCGCCCAACAGCAACATGCCACTACATAAATCTGAACCTTGAGTCTTTAAAAAGTGTAGAAAACTTTGTGGCAGAATTTAAGAAGGAATTCAAGTTAGTATCACATGATTCTGAACTAAAATTATTGTTAATGGAAAGTTATCCGCTAAAATTTCTTTTCTACTAACTCCAAGAATGCCTGTAAAGGTCTGAATGGAAGACACAAGGCCTGATGTACCTCAGTTGCTCAGTTAAATATTTTTGTAATTTTCAGGATAACTGGCGGATGGATTTAACTAAAATCTGCCGAACTACACTAGATGTTACCTAATTTCCTTTTATGTTTTATTTTTTTCTACAGAAANGTCATGATAACGTTTAGCGCGCGATGTGAATCACGTAGAGCATTGAGTTTTCATGAGCGGGTGGTTTGAATTCACGCATTAAGAATCATTAAATATCTTTGTAAGGAGTTAATTTCGGTAATTTTCGTTGTGAGCATCGTGTTTTACGTAAAATTTTGGTTAAGAAACATGTATCAGAATGCTGAAATTCGTACCTTATCTAGTGGTCCATTGAGACCTAAAGTTAATTTGTTCACATATAAATGCAAACGACAATTGCTCTTGATGCTTTTGGATGAAAATGTTTAATGTCTTGGAAGAATGAGGGTTCGCTGGGTTTTTTTTGTTTGTCTGGTCCAACGGAGAAAAACATATAATCGAGAGTTTTGGTAAAAATGGGGGAGCGTCAATTCCATGAGGGAAAATTCACTAAAACTCTCTCCATCTCTTTGATGCAACAGGACTTAATTATCTTTGAAGAAAATCCCATTTTGTTATACCTGAACCAAATAAACCTTTTGATTTGCCTCAGCTAAAGGCTCTTAGATTTTTCCTGTATATGATAAGTTTGAGCGACTATTTTGCCACGGACGTGTTGCACAATTTCATACAAGATAGAAAGCACCCCAATGTATCATGATTGATGGCATCTTTCAAAAGCACGGAGTTCCCTCACAAATTAAATGGAGTGACAACGACGAGAAGAGAGCGGTAGTCGAAAAACTTACTAAGTCCTAGTATCTGTATTCAATAACGTTTAGGATGATTTTTGAACCTCATTAGAGGAAGAAGTGACTTGATTCAAGCAGAAATATCCTCAAATTTACTGCCGAGAGGATTACCTTTTGAATCAATAAAGAAAATACCTAATGTTTGTTCAAAGATGAAAAGATGCTTACATAAAAAGCAAAGTCACTTACATCAAGCAGAAACTCGCTTTTACACAGCTATATTATTCTTGATTCTTAATAAAATCTTCTTGGTGACGTGCTCAATAATGTTTTTGCCTAAATCGAGTCACTTTTTTCTCAAATGAACTTTAAAAATTATACTAAACGTTATTAAATACGGATGCTAGAACTTGGTGAGTTTTTGGACCACCGCTCTCCTTTTGGGTTGTAGTATCTTGCGATTTATTTTGCGAGGAAAGCTCCATACTCTAAATGGATGCCCGTCATTCTTAATGTATTGGAGTGCCCTCAATTTCGTATGATACTGTGCAACACCTCTGTTGCGAACTAGTTACTTGAGGCGGTGGGCGAGGGCGACCAGCGCGACCCGTGCATTAGTGCTTTTTTCTCATTTTGATACTGTCAATATAATTTTACATACAGACAAAAATATGACGCTTGAACCAAGTTACTGTTGCTTATTTTACATGTGGACGTAAACTACTGGATAAAAAATCGTCGACAGAATGTCCTGAAACCGTTTTCTCTGAAATGCAACTGGGTGCATTTCTGTTAAACTCTGTCCATCTTATCTTAAACATCAACATCTCAACCATCATCCATCTTAAACACGTTTAGAAAACTTCTCATCCACATCATCAATTTAAGTACGTGTTACAAAATATGTACTTTGACATTCATTTGTAGAATTATTACATTTATCCACCAAATTTATCATTTTCTTTACCGAATACAAACTTAATATTCTTTTCTCTCATGATTTCATTCACACAGGTTCCTACATTATTTAATACTCAATGCAGGAGTTTTTGCTCTTCCGCATACCATCACTCCTGATGGATTTGAACTAACTTTTCAGGTAAGATTACCAATACCTACATCCAACCATCTGTGATTGCATCAAAGGAATGGGCCCCTAAAGTGAGAAAATATAAGAATGAGAAAACAATACCACAGTGTCGAAGGATTAATACCGCCTCATTTGGTACTGAGAACACCCTGAACACTTTTAAATATTGATCTCAAGGGAGAGATTTGAAGTTCGAAGACAAAAAACAAACAATTTTTGTAATGTCTTATGTTTTCCTACATAAGTTCTAAAATTTTGTAAGTTAGTGGAGAACATTTTGTCAAGCTGCGGACTGATTTTTCGTGGACCATGTAAGATTTTCTTCAATGGCAAATATGTCCTATCTTGATCCTATCACCTTCGGTTTATTTCAAAGCGAGAGGTTTGTACTTCTAATTTTTAAACATTAGTTTCTTGGTTTGAGGCTAGTTTCAGAAGTTTCATCCAATGTGTTCTGTGTAAAATTCTGATAAGGGCATGAGTTTTTTGAAAGCTCAATTCTTACCCTGTCTAATGGTCCATTCAAGAAAAAAGCCTAGAGTTTTCCAGCGCTATTACCAACCCTAGAAATGAATTATTTCTGAATGCTTATAACGTCATCAATAATGTGAATAATGGCTTGAAATTTTGACTCTATGTCCCTGAAACTACTTAATAAGAAGATATTTTTTATTCTAAATTGATTTCCCACTACTGAACTATACAAGTCTCTATCTCAAGGTTCCCTTTGCCCGACTCTATCACATATGTTTATAAATTAATTGTAATAAGATAACTACCCTTAGAGATTACCCATCAAGAGAGAGATGCAGAAAATGTCCCATCTTGCGTTCCCCCAAAAATATGAGGCAATTATTTTGAGAAATGACAGCTCCTTTTCTTTCTTCATCCCCCCCCCCAAAAAAAGACCATTAGGCCAAGTTGGAATTTTGTGGTGGGATAATCTCTCTGGATTGCAAGGCACTGTCGGCTCTATGGAACTTCTGCTTCCTTGCCCAGAATCAAGATTTAAGTATCAGTCTGTCATTGTGTGACATCAAAATGTAACCAACATGATATCATGCAGGATTATTTTGCTTTGATCATTTTATCATATTTCAATGTTCTAGGTCTGTCATCTCAGTCATTTTTACCTGACAAAATTACTCTGTGATACTTTAGTTAGTACTCCTAAAAGCCGAGTCATTGTTTTGTCCTCAGAGAGTCATCGGTAAGCTGTTTCATTTTCAATTTCTTTTGGTTTGAATTACTTAAGAGAAATAGTGCTAAAATTGCAATATACCTTTTTTTTATACTCTTATTTTTTTTTCAAACTAGCTCTAAAATAAAAGTTAAAAATACCCTGTGAACAATTCAAATGTACATTTATAAAGTCTAAACTGTATATTCTGAGAACAATTTTTTTCTCAATCTACAAGTGAACGCAAGGTCCATTGACAAACATACACAAAAAGTGTTTCTCTTGAGATAATCTACAAAAATTTTGCACAGATTAGTTCATAAAATTGAGTGGTACAGGGGAAAATAATCCTCGCCTGGAACCTTGTCGGTTGTTTTTGCAATCCGCTGACAAGTGCAACAAAATGTGCAATTTCTTCTATTATTCTTAAAATTTCTCTCAATGCTTTATTTTTGGTGGTCAGCTAAAGCTAGAATTTTCCAAGAGGAAAAATTTCACGCAATGGACCATTAGACAAGGTACAAATTTCAGCATTCTGATACATGTTTCTCAAGTAAAATTTCACTTAGAATACGACGCGCACAACGAAAATTCCCGAAATCAACTCCTTCCAAAGATATTTAATGATTCTTGATGTGTGAATTCAAACCACCCGCTCATGAAAACTCAATGCTCTGCGTGATTCACATCGTGCGCTAAACGTTATCATGACAGTCTCTGCGATGTAAAAATCTGGCAACCTCAATCTTGACGCTTTGGCTCAGCTGTAGCAAGTTGCTTACAGTTTGAACAACACATGGTGGGAAATGAACATTATTACTCCATTGAGAAGCTTGTTGAAACCGTTGTAGTGCGTGATTTGACTCACGTAGAGCTTTGAGTTTCTTGTCAGTGGGCAGTTCAAATTCCTCGTAACCAATGTGAAATAAAAACGTTAATATCTTAGTTTGGAGTTTGTTTCATTAGTTTGCGTTGCGCGAATCGTGCTCTACGTGAAATTCTGGTTAAGAAACATGCATCAGAATGCTTAAATTCGTACCTTGTCTAGTGGTCCATTCCGTAATATATACAAATTTTATCCACATTTTCAACCCTAAGAATATATATCAATGGCTGAAGTGTGAAACCGAGTATCTCTGTTGGGACGTTCAGTCACAGATCATTTTATCTTAGGAAAACTAGTCAACTTAACTTCTTGAAAACTTCCTTGATTTTTCTACTCTATTAACAGAATATATCCTTTAAATTTCAAGTTATATCGTTGACTTTTTTCTCTTCTAAAATATGACTTAGGCATAGAGATTTCCAAGTACCATATTACAGATGCGTGGTTTCGCTTTCTAGCCATGAGTATGTACTTTTTTTTTTCCTCTGTGGATCCCTCCACGGACTGAGTCAAGTTTTCTGAAAAAATTAATTCGAACGAATTTTCTATTCCCTACACTTGCAGCTTCTCATTGTTATCGGAGGATTCTATTGATGAAGAAACCCTGACACCTCTTGATGGCAGTAAATTCTGGTCTATGATTGCCTACAACAACGTTAAGCTGTGTAACGTTCTATTTGCCTCTGAGCTTGCATGCCGTTTGTATTCCTATGGCGTATCAGTTTTTTCCTGTCATCCAGGAAATCTAGTCTACACCAACATTTTCCGCTATTACTGGGTTTACTGGCTTCTCTCTTTCCTTGTGAGGCCTTTCACTAAATCTCTGGTAAGTATCAAGATTGAAATCAAATTAGGTATATATTTTATGTTCATATAAGATGACCTTCCAAAGATATGTCTGGCAATTTATCGGACAGTTTGGCAAACCCTCTTGGAAAATTTCTTTTTGGCACCATGATGAGGTATATACAATTCCATAAATCCAGAAAAAATGTCCAAAAAACCCTTTTTATTTGTAGTATACTTCAAATGTAATCAAAATTTTTAATCATGATTCTTTGTAAAAGTACTTTTTCCAAGCATTATGTTTTCCCAATACAAAGATATATGAAGAAAATCACTTTTTGAAAACGATGGATATCATGTGAGAAACAGTTGATCGGTTGTTATTCTTAGCGCCAAAATCCAAGTTTTGAGGAAAATGGGAAAAACTATGCCATTCGGCGTCCATTCATGTATAGAGTCCAAAGAATTTATGTGTCTAGAGAATACCTTTTGAAACTGGGCTTATAAGATTGAACGCATTCCAACTGGCAAACTTTTCTCCCTTTTTTGGAGTTTGATTTTGGCGCTTGGGCCCTTGAGGAAAGTATCTGTTCAGTTGCGAGATTGTTTGTTTATTTAAGTAAGGTTTCTTAAGGTTAGGGGCAAGGAATAAGTCAGGTCAAAAATAATTTCTGTAGACTCGGAAAAAAGTGCCTGCTTTGTAGGTCAATTTGAAAACATGCCATTTGAAAGATGCAAATTTTGCATTTTAGATAAGACCAATTCGAACAGGTCAGTAATTCCTGCGTACGAGTGTCGAGACCCTACGCATTATGGCAATGCAAATCTCATAGAAGCAGAATGCTGCGTCACACTGGCAGCGGTTCGAGGATTTTAAAGAGATGTGCTTCAATGGGTGATCTGTGTGGATAGGTTTTGATTCAAGAGCATCTTGGTGCATTTTTAGGGATTTTGGACCTGCCCAATCTAATTTTTTGCAAATTTACTTTGCCATCTCTCTTTCAAGATATTATAACATGAAGGAAAGTAGATGTATGATTGTATGCGTTTCACATAGTACTCAAATATATGATTGAAAAATGTTACGGGGTTCTTAGAATATTAAGCAATATAGGTTCATAAGGTGCAGATCAACTCAAATTTTTGTTGAAATTTCATTTGACCCATAGATTTTTCACTTTACATATCAAGACGACCGCCCAGCATCATTAATCAATGATGAACGTTGTGGTAGATAAGCGGATTTCGGTCCAAAATTTTTGCTCTTTCTTATTGCTAGAATAGCCTCAGACGTTTTGGTTTCGTTATTCGTATGTTTCTACATCAAATGTGACCTAAAAAGTATTGCTTTTGTTTTTCAGCAACAAGCTGCCAGCACAACAATTTACTGCGCGGTTGCAACAGAGCTTAATGGGATTTCTGGATCTTACTTCAATAACTGTTATCAGTGTCGACCTAGCTCCAGAGCAATGAACAAAACGATGGCGGAGAAACTGTGGACATTGTCAGAAAATCTCATACAGAAGTGGCAAGCCCGCACCTAAAATCTTCATGTAGCCGTCATCGAGCAGAGGTTCTGATCGCAGAGCAAGTTTTGACTAAAAACCAGGAAATGTTGACTTACTACAATGGATCATCCACTGGACTTCTCCATTTGTGGAGGTTTAGAAATGGAATGCATTTCCAGGGTGTCTACTAGTCCGGAAATAGTACTGATTTTTTGAGGGCGGTCTGGAAGCACTGAAAAAGTGCGGAAATTCCGCAAGAGGCTCCGAAATTTTTTCAAAGAATTTCAAAGTTCGGAAATTTTGTGAATTTCATCAAATGAAGGCACTGAAAATGTACTGAATTTTTCTGTCGAGGATGTACTGAATTTTTTGGGAAGGTACTGAAGAAGTACTGTAAAAGCACTGATTTTTGGCTAAACTGTTTTAGTAGACACGCTGATTTCGGAAATTTCCTACAATGGTTCTACACATGAAACAAAAATTTCAGAGCCATTTTGCACTGGAGCACTGATTTAACATGGTTTAACAGAAATGCTCCAAGTTGCATTCTAAAAGAAAGAAAGAAAAAAAAAGCCGGGAGTGGTTATGAGTTTAACAAGTCGTAACATCAATATTATGTCACTTTCGACGTTCATGATCTGATGATAAAATGTGTCGGATCTGGGGGAAAATGTTAACTGTGAAAATACTTGCTACATTTTCTCCTTAATATTTTCTCCTTAATATTTTGCCTAACGTCTATGTAAAATTCCATAAATCTTATTCTTGGTTCAAGCTTGATGCAACTTGGTGCCTTTCTGTTAAACATGGTTCATTTGATTGAAGGAAATTGTTTGATCATAAAGTCAAATACAATGTCACTTTTGACTTTTAAGATCTAATGATGGAATGTGTCAGATCGTGGGGAGAAAAAGCTATACATGAAAATATTTGTCCTTACATGTTAAACATTGTCCTTAACCTTGAGTCTTATGAAGGGATAAAATTTCAAACCTATTTTTCTCTGTTCAAACTTACCCTTTGGGTTACCCTTGTACTAATTTATGTACTGTCAGTATTGAAAACTATTTCACCACTAAAGACCGATTAAAAGCAATTCATCCATTCAAAGTTGTCTTTTATTTCTTATGATTCCAATCTGCAGATGAAACCCAAAAAATTCCAAGGTACACTCTACCATAGGTATGGACAAACAGGATGCCGAAGTGGCAGCACTGAGAATATGGGCCCTCGCGTGACATAGCAAGTCGTACCATCCTTGCCGCGCAGTTCAAAATGAGGTTCTGGCAGATCTGGTAGCTCCAATAAGTTATCAGATGAATTCAAAAAATTGATAAAACTCAAAATAACGAAAGAATTCAGTAAGAACACGAAAAAATAACACAAAATTGATGAGACCCACTCTCAGAGCAGAAAGTAAATCAGTTTTTAAAATGGCGTCGCAGTCATAGCATTGGACGCTGTCAAATCTACGCGTTTCCACGACTTTCTAAAATAATATTTGTCCATACCTTTAGTAGAGTGTACCTTGAAAAAATCATAAGTTTTATGGATTTCCAGACTTGGGTAATTCAGGATGGTCCAGGATTAAAACAGGAGATTTTGGGGATGGTTTGTTTGGGTCAAAATAAGACATTTTCCAAAAAGGCTCCTCTTCAGAGTTGCACCTCAAAGTTTAAGAGTAGGAGATGGTTTTTCTCCTTATATGTGGTCTTCATCTTCACTTATGAAAGCAAGCTAAAGACGTTACTTGAAGTGAGAATGTGAGCCAGCCTTTTAATCAGCAAATCAAGCAAATTTCATGCTTTAGAGTTTCCAATGAGATGTTGAAAATGAACATTGACTCCTGATTTTTAGCATGCAAATGACTGATTTTAGTCTTCTTTAAAGTTTATTAAAGCAGAAAAACCGTGAAAAGTATCAACAATTTGCAGGCATTTAAGAGTTTGGTTGATTTACTCCTATGTTAGTGAATTGTAGATAAAATAACTCAAATCAATGAAACAGGTAAACAAAATATATTTATAAAATTTTAGGATAACATTACACCAACAAACAATAAATTATTTCCTATCAACAAAATTCGATTTACAAAATAAATTATGAATTAACAAAAGGTATGTATGCGAAAGTAATACCAAAGTAAATAAACTAGATGTTGAATTAAGTTATTAAAAAGAATGATGCGGGTCGATCGTAGAATCATTACAGAATGATTTTGATCGATAAATAGCATTGCTAAGAAAGAAGTTTATTGATCAGTGTCGACAACGATTTTGATAACGATTCAACGATTGACCCTCTGGTTGTGCAAATCAGTAGCAGAGGGCAACGATTTCAGTGACAGTCAGAGTGCTAACAATTAGGCTTGAGCTATTTTCCTTATCATTACTACCCCGGCAGCAAAGAAGTCAAAATGGCCTTCTGTAGAACCACCTTTTTGTCAGTCTGTCCTCTACAGTAAGTTTTCCCTTGAAGTCACGTCTTCCAGAAGTTGCTTAAAAATGAAAATGAAAATATTCATTTTTCTCTCCTTTAAATACCCCTCCGCCCAACTGCCTTTAGAAACTCAATGGGTCGTTCTTCCCCCTTCTCTTGGTCCTTCATAAATTTTGTGACTGAAGACAACAGCAGCCATAAAATTGTATCCTGTATTCTGTAACATGTCTTGTGTAAGTATAATCTCTTTCTTTGTAACTTTGTACCTGGACACACGTACAAATCTATAATAATTTAGTTTTAAGAAAGAACCTGATGCTTCTGACTAGCTCAGATACTAACCTTATAACACAAGAGGTAATAGAAATCGAAAATTACCAATATACTATGAAGAACATAATCAGACCCTATTCCGAAATTCTGGCTTCACTATTTTCAACTCCTAAAAAGTCTAAGGCTAATCTTTTCGACGAAGATTCATTTAATTTATAGTAATCATAGTTCTGGAAATCATGTTGATAGCAAAAGCAAAATTTAAGATTAGAGCATTTTATTTTCTGAAAATGTTTTCATTCGTGCAAGTTTGAATTTTTCTTATCTTCTGTTCTAAGTAAGAGTAGGTAGTAAAAGGGAAAATCCCACACCATGGGTATGTAGTGACCTAAGAGTAATCTAGTATTAAAAAGATAAATTGAGCAACAAGGCACTCCGCCTAAACTGACAAAATACAAAAACGCGACGGAATGCACCTGCACATGTAACAGGGATCAAATTGTAAGAGTCATTCTTAGAAAACACAAGTAACTCGGGGCAGGTGCAACGAAATTAAAAGGTTTCGGCCATTAAAGTGTCCAGGCCAAGTAAGCCAGATTTATCGCACGGGCCTTTGTCGGAGCCCGCTGCGAGGGGGGGAACCTGCGAAACGGGAAAGTAAAGGCCAGTAAGCCTAAAACTAGCAGGACCAACCAAAGCTTAGCATCGGTTCTTGGACCAGCCAATCAGGGATAGCATGGGGTACGCTGAGGGCTGCCCCAAAAAGGGTTGTCCAGGGACCGAGGTTTTAGGCTCTGGAAGGCTCCCACACTTCGATTTCCAATTTCAAGTCAAGCGGACAGATAAGCTCCTCCAGTCCTTAGCAACACTCATAATTTTCTTTTAGACGAACAAATATCTTACCCAAGTCCTCTGAGACAACGACAATTGTATAAGCTATTTACTTGTTTCCTTTGATTCATATCTCGTGCTCTACTGATTATCGATACTGTGTTGTTAATTTTTCGGGACAATTCAAACATTATAATTTCTTTATCACCAATATTTCGACTTGATATTATTCCTCTATCTCTGGAGTGTAAAACTCCCAGAACCCCACAGGTGTCATCAGCAAAACAGTAAGAGGGCTGTTCGACCTAGCTTTTGACGACTCTGTCAAATGTTTTCACTCAATGAAGGGGCAGAAAAGGGGCACCCATCAAAAGAAATCGCTGGTGAAAACATTATACTTTCAAGAGGTAATAATGGGTAAGTACCCATTCTTTACTAATTTCAAGTACCTATTTATCATTCATTTCAACCACCACACAATCAGTTCTTAGTTCAAAGTGGTTGGTGTGCAGAGGCTCTTGGTAGACCAGAAACAAAATATGACTAAATCAGAGCACACTTTAACTTACTGAATCATAGTAATCATAGTTCTGAAAAGAATGTTAATAGCAAAAGCAAAATTTAAGATTAGAGTATTTTATTTTCTAAAAATGATTTCAGTTGTGTAAGTTTGAATTTATCTTTTCTTCTGTTGTAGGTAAGAGTACTAAAAGGAAAAGTCCCCCATTACATAGTTAGCAAAACAGCACGGGGTCTGCTAGACCTGGCTTTTGATGAAAGCCTCAAATCTTTATACTCTATGAAAGGCCAAAAGAGAGGCACGCAACAAAAAAATCTCTGGTCAAAACTCTCTATTTTAAAGAAATAATAATGGGTAAGTACCCATTCTTTACTAATTTCAAGTACCTATTTATCATTCATTTCAACCACCACACAAGCATTTCTTAGTTCAAAGTGGTTGGTGTGCAGAGGCTCTTGGTAGACCAGCAACAAAATATGACTAAATCAGAGCGCACTTTAACTTACTGAAGGTCAATAGTGACACTTGAGACTTTTGTCGGGCAATGCTAGCAAAGACCCTGTGAAATAATGGGACTGTTTTAATATTCTAGGAATTATGTAAGGTATGTCTATAAAAAAGGAAGACTTCTGCATATATTTAGTCTCCAAGATGATTTTTGAGGGTGCTGCACACCCGATTATCTATGTCTGCTGATCCTAGCATTTTTCAATGTCTATATAGTGCTCTATGTCAATATCTTGGCCTTACCGTTATGCTCTTGTTATGTTTTTCAGAAGTGTGCTACATTAGTTTGCAGTCCTTTGTTATAAGGTGCCTTTGCTTACCAAGAAAACTTTGTGAATTAGTTTATTTTGTTTGTTGATTGTAAAACTAAAAAGCATAACTATCTATCAATCAATCTTTTGTTCAAATTCTAATCATTTACAGATAGGTCCTTTTTTTAATATATATAAATATATCTCTTAGTTACAAAAGTTAACAGGTTGGCAGTTCCGACTACCTCAGCCAATACCCTGGCGGAGGTCCATGGAGAGAGGTAGCAACCCACAGCGAACCCCGACTATGGGCGACTTTAGTAGTTTCAGTCTGGTATTTTAGATTTTTCTCTTATTATTCCATCTTCCTCATCAGTCTATTGGCTCATACGACTCGAGGAGGAGTCTGGAGCTAGGCTAAGCCATAGTAATAATTTGCTTTAGTTTCCAACAGTCTCATTGAATGCTCTATCATCAAGAAATTGAACAGTGAAACTGTAAAAGTTGGGACTATAATTACAATTTTATTTTTTCAATTGTAACTATTTCAATTGCGCCACACTCACAAATGTTTTTCTTTTATCTCTGATTATTTTTCTAATTGTATATTATCATGTCTTTGCAATTTTTCTTTTAAATGGCTCTGTTATTTACAACGAGGGCACTAGATGGAGCCAAGCCGACTCTGTCAAACAACAAACTATGCTGGACAAGGCTTTGCAGGGCCGCAAGAGGAAATTCGCCCCTCTGTAGAGGGAGGGCTTAACTGTTTGGTCTGTATGGAAAACCTGGCGACGAGGTTAACAGTGCCATGCAGTCACAAAACACATTGCGTTACACGTGCATGGATCAAAGTGTCAATGCCTTGTTGTTCCGGTGTTTCAGACAGACCAAAACCAGCATACTGTTGTAAATGCGAGACAATTACGCAACGGTATGTCAGGGTGTTTACGTAGATATTTTTCTGATCGTATTTTTGTGTTTCTTCTGATTGTATTTTGTCTGTGTATTTCTTTGTATATGATTGTATTATTCTTTTTTATGTCCTGCCTTTCAACCGTCCGTCCTGCCATCAACCTGAACCTCAGACTCCTGACCGTTAGAGCACGGCTAAGGGGCTCTGGAGCTTTCGTCTACTCTCCTGTGTCGGATAAGTGGAAAATATAAGTTGGGAATTCTTGGGCGGATGAGTGGTGATTTTTATCGTGGGAGATCAATTCTGATGAAGCATATCTGCAGGTGAAGATTGACCTCCAGCCACGTGGGGCATGGCTTCGTTATCTGTGTGACTATTTTGGGGCCCCGCGGCCTTTGCTGCTTCCTTCACTATTGGCGTGGAATGGATTTATTTGCTTTCATGGTTGAGTGGATTATATTAAAGTTCTGGGTGATTGTTTTTAACACTCTGCAACATCTTCTTCCTTGTATTTTTGACTGTTCGTGGGTACTTGCAAAGAATTCAAATGGGTTTTGGGTGTTCCCCCCCCCCTTTTTGTTCTTCTTTCCCTTGGCAACATCTCATTTTTTTGGTCTATTGTTTGGATCTGTAGTGCTTGCGTAAATTCAAAGCTGCTGAATCATATTTTCTTCTTTTTCAGACTGGAGCATTGACTCTATTATTTACAACGAGGATACCAGATGGAGCCAAACCGACTCGGTAAAACAACAAACGATGCTGCGACAGGGCTTTGCAGGGCTGCAAGAGCAAATTCGCCCCTCTGTAGAGGAGGGCTTAATTGTTTGGTCTGCATGGAAAACTTAGCGATGAGGTTGACTGTTCCATGCGGTCACATAACACATTGTGTTACGTACGCATGGATCGAAGTGTCAATGCCTTGACATTCAGGTGTTTCAGACAGACCAAAACCAGCATACTGTTGTAAATACAGGACAATTACGCAACGGTATGTCAGGGTGTTTATGTAAATATTTTTCTGATCGTATTTTTGTGTTTCTTCTGATTGTATTTTGTTTCTGTATTTCTTTGTATATTATTCTTTTTCAAGTCCATTTATCTTAATATCTAATTTGAAAAATAGAATGAAATTGTGAATCAACCACTGTACTAATTGCGAGGGGCGTTGGTTCATTTGAAAGGTGTTGTTCTCAATGCTTCGGGAAAACTATAAATTATTTTCTGGGGTTCGTCTCCGATTTTTAAATCCCTAAAAACTCATAAATTGGATGAGGGGAAGTGGGGGTTTTTTGTTTTTTATTTTTCGGAAAAGTTTTGTTGCTACGTATCTTACTTTACTGTTTGCTGTCTTTTCATCAGCTGTTTTCATTCAACAATCATCATTAAGTGAGGTTACTTCCAACACTCAACTGCCATCAACTTACATTTTTCTTTTCCCGCGTTTTTTTTTTTTTTTTTTTTT